CTTGAGAATATTCCTTGGTGAAATGACAATTTTTCCTACTCTCAAAATGAGGTAGAAGTTTACCCGAGCCTTGTGTAAGTTTGGTTTTGTTGACAGTTAATGCAGCATGAAAGCTAAGGATCTACTCTCTGAGTGTTTTCACTGCTGAGTGTGCAGAAGTTGGATTCTCATGAGTGAATTTCAGTGTGCACTGCAGGCTTTTGGTAGATGCCCCTTCTGCCTGGTTCTTTCATGCAAAGCTATTTGCAGAATGTCCTGTCAGGCTCACTGGTGCAGAGATTGCTTTTGCCCTTGTTCTCTAGACATCCCTGCTTCAGTATTTTACTTCTTTAAATGGTTCAATTTATGACTGGAAATGTAGACAAAATACTTTGCCTCAAAACACTTTAGCGTGTGAGAGTTAAAAATAATGTGCTTGGAAATGTCAGCTTGAGCTGTATGCTGTATGTGTTTTTCTAAATAGTTAAAATGATGCAGCTTTTTATATTTTCATATTTCAGGTTCTCGCCATTTCATGGTGGTTTTTTATCCAAACTCATTTTCATTTTTTCTATTTTATCCAGTGAGATAATTTTAAGTATCAAAAAAATTGCTCGATGTCCAATGAGTATGTTTTTTAGAATTATTATGCAGAAGAAGGAGGGTGAACTCCAGGTTTAGGTGCAAAGCAGATCTCACAAGCTTAGATTTGAAGAAATATCATAAGTTCCTGTTCATGAAACTGCAATTTCCTAGCCTGGTATGCTTTAACTGATTTATCAGTGGGATTATTTTTTTCGTCATGTTCACTCAATATTTTTTCCCTTCTAAATTTCTTTACCATCAACTATTATTCAGTCTTACATCTCCGTAGGAAATATCTTTCCTGTTATAATATTTTCTTAATGCTAGTGTAGTATGAAGTCTTCCTCTGAGGCGCTTATTTAAGCCTAGTCACATCAAACAGAAAGCATGTTTCTCCCTTGAAAAATAAAGTATTTTTTATTTCTCTTCTGTGGCTTGCAGCATCTGACTGGGCTGTATCCTGACGTGGGTGACAGAGGAAAAGCAACAGAATTACCTGTGATGCCAACTCCAACTTGAACAGCACAGGGCACTTTGTGGCCCCTGTGGCGGGACAGGTTCAAGCCTTCCTTATAACTTCATCCATAATGTGTGGTAAAGCAGTTCATCAAATTCTCTAAAGAAGTTGTTGTCTACTACAGAAACTTTGTACACCAAGCTACACCAATAGTGAAAAAAATATAAAAAAATAAGAAACATCCCTCCCATTTTAAAAAGGAATTTTGACAGAAGTGAGAGAGTTTTTCGTTCTCTTTCTTAGGAGAGGAAGTTTCATAGAACACAAGCAGGCTGCTGTATGAGCATAGGATATGCTGTGTCATGTCCCTCTTTTCTCTGCAGCTGTGAGAGTCAGCAGACATTTGCTCTTGAGAATTTAGCATTGGGAATGGGGATTTTCCCATACAAACTTATAATGCTGTTTGTACTTCCCCTGAGCTGAAACCCATGACAGCTTCAGACCAGCAGGGTAGAAGGTTATTAATTTTCCTGCCTTTGCTCACCAAGTTCCTGGGAGTGAGACAGTGACAAAGAGCAGGGAATTGTAGTGTTATCACACAGATAAAAAAGGTTGCCAGCACCCAGACCTCTGATTCAAAGCCTCATCAAATACCAGGAATCTTTGACTGCTTTGGAAAACTGAAGGCTTTGGATCAGGCATATCCTTCTGGAGGTTATGTAACTTGTAAAAAACCACTTCATGATCAAACCCATTCTAAATCTAAATTGGATGTGGCTACATGATAAATGTATGTGTGTACAAATAAAACCACCAACTGATATTAACTCAACATGTTAGGTTTGGGTTTTTTAAATGAGCATAAAAAGATACATCAGGAGATAATTACAAAACTTATTTTTGGGTTTGGGAGATATTATTCTATGGTGTGGAACAATATCCTATACAAATCCTACAAGAACTGCTGCTAATACAGAATTTAAGTGTGAAATATTACTTTAATTATTCCAGATGGCATTTCCACGTACTTTTTCTTTTGTGTGTGTGTGCATGTGTGCTTGTACACGTACACCCTCTGGAATGAATGCCCATTATCATGTCTCTTTTTAGAGCTTCTGTTTCAAAAACATAATGCATAATCAGTTTGATTATGTGACAAGCTGTTTCATCCTTTTTCTCTTTTTTTCTTCCCAAGCAATTTTCTAGGTCATGTTTGTGTTAGGTCTCCCTTTAAAAAAAAGAATATCAGAGAGATTTTATGCAGAATTTCTTTCAGCCAGCAATTTGGAGTCATTGTTTGGAGAAATAACTTTGAATTGTATTTCTAAATAATTAGTTGTTTGGTTTTTTTAGAAAATCAGAAATCCATTTAGGCAATGTGGATTTAAGCTATTCATAGAATACTTAAAATACAGCCTTCAAGAAAAATGGAAATAGCTATAGTTAAGATTTGTTCAGTTCAACTTCTTTCACCAGCATCATTCAACTTTCAGTCTTCAGTGAGATGAATTAAAGGAGAAATTGTTTCTAAAAACGTACTCTAAACATTTGAAATTAAATCTATTCAAGTAACAATATCTGCTTTTTTATCTTGAGAAATGTATTTGGAAAGGATACCCCAGGCTTACATTATATTCAAGACACAGTAGAAATCTTCACTTCTATTGAAAGCAGGACCCTCAATTCCAGAATTGTTCCAGTGGCAGTTAAAAAAAGTCTCATGCTGAATTTTAATGGACTCAATTAGTAACTTTGAGAATGACACTTCTCCTTGATCATCCCTTCTGGAATCAAATCTGGTAAAAGCATGCTCAAGGGAAGGAAATCCTAGCAAACCCACAAATTAGTATTCCTCATGCAGTGGAATGCCTTTCAACACAGATCCCACAGCTTGCAAAAAGGAAGAGCTGGATCTGTTTTCAAGATATCAAAGGCAATGGAGTTGTTCCCAGCTGTTGTACAGGATATCCTCTGTGAAGCTGGGAAGTTATTTAAACTAATCTTTATGGTTTTGGTCACTATTGTTTAATATTTATTTTCACAGTGCTCTAGCTCTGATCCCTCAGATGAAACCTTGGCAGAGCCATCAGAAGTGTCCAAGGGGTGGAACCTGATTTCCAAGTTTTGAATGCTCTCAATCCAAGCTGGAGGCAAAGGATGCTGTGGATGGTTTGTCACTCTCCTGAATGCTATTCTCTGTCTTCCACAACAGGCTTTTCACCCTTAAAGATCTATGGTGCTTGAGAGATTTCGGGTTGCTCAGCCTTCTTTTAAGAAGAGAAGTCACTGGGACATCTTGGAGCTGCCTTCTTTTACCTAAAGTGGGTGGGAATTACAGAAAATGGGGGAGGGAGTATTTCTCAAGGAGCAGTGATAGGAAGAGGGGCCATGGCTTCAAAACTGAAAGAGATCAGGTTTAGGTTAGGCATTAGGAAGAAATTCTGTACTGTGATGGTGCTGAGGCACTGAAACAGGTGGCCCAGAGAACCTGTGGATGCTCCATTCCTGGAAGTATTCTAATCCAGGTTGGGTGGGGCCCTGAGCAACCTGGTCTAATGGAAGGTGTCCTTGCCCATGGCAGGGACTTGAAAGTAGATTTTTAAGATCCTTTCCAACTCAAGCCATTCTATGAGTCTGTGATTTTATTATGAATTCTGATCTAGGCAGAAATTTACCCCCGGAAATGAATATAATAATACCCCTCTGTCTAAGAGTTATCTTATAAAGAAAAATGTAACTTGGAAGGTTTTTCCTGAGACACTCAAGTGCTGTGGCAATAGAAGTTGAAAAAAAAAAAAGAAAAAAAAAAAAGACAGCTATGGAAAAAGATGATTCTGTGCTGTACAGAAAAGAGTACTGTACAACAAATTAAGCCTAGGGCCATGATATAGCTAATGAGGGGACATTAAAATACTGAATAGCTGATCCATTCACCAGCACTACTCATCCAAGTTGCTACTGGAGGCAAACAACCTAAAGTAAAAATAGCAGACAGTAACTTGTATATGAGGCAATTTCATTAGAGATTACTTCATAAGCATGTATACGATGAAGACACACAAAGATAGGCTAAGTTCAACGATTTACAAGAACAAGCCCTCAACCTTTGAGTACTGGCTTTGCTCATTTAACAACTTTTGATCTTTCTTCTATAGAACTTAACTACATATAATTAAACTGTAAACCTATCATGACTGCTGCTTTTCATAGTGTCATGTAGAATGACTCCTGTCTATTAACACATATTCTTGTACATCAAGAAGATTTCACCCAATAAAAGAAAGCATTAAACTTTGATTTTTCATATTTGCAATGTTACTGTATTTTCATCTCAACGTTTAGACACAGATAAGTATATTAAACACTAAATATAACTTTTTGATTAATGTTGTATTTTTTCCATTCTCTCTTATGAAGTTGTAAGCATAACTGAGTTGGGTAGGGAGCACATGAAGGGCACTAAGCCACCTCTGTCTGCAAAACCTCACTTGTAGACATGAGTTTACCATCAAAATTACTATTACTGTACAAAATTACTATATTGCTACTAAATTACTATTGGAACAGAAATTTTCCCAGTGCCTAACTAACTGGCAAACTTATTTCAAGCTCAAGAAAGGTTTTGTTCAAGTAGTATCTCCCTTATCAGAGCTTGTTGATGTACCTCCATTGGCAGAACCAAACTGGGACACATAAGAGATATGAACAACACTATGGAGTGACTTTTGAAGTCTGCTTAGGCACCATAACAACCATCTCTGATGTCCAATGAACTGAGTTCTTCCTGTGTCTCAAAAATTACACCAAGGGGGAAAAAAGAGGAAGAGTATTTTTACACTTATTACTGAAAAATAAGGAATTTATTTTCTGGGAATATGAAGGAAAACAAGGACAGATGTGATGATCCACTCTTAAGGGGAAGGAAGCACCAACTTCTCTGGGCCTCTGCAAGAGATTTAATTCCATGAGAATACTAGCTATGAATGAAGACTGGCAGCTGGCGACAAGTCCAGAGTATGTCCTTTTCCATCCTTGTAACATCACTGACCATCACTATTACTTCCTTAAAAAGTATGTGTTCCTAAAAGGCATATTCATTCTATAGAAATTAGATATTCTAAACTTCTCGTACAATATCCTCCAGATATTTCAGTTTTCAAGAGAAGATCCTGTAACATTAGAATTCAGAATTTTCTTGGGTTTGACCAAAGGCTCAGAGTCTCACTTGAATGAGGCCTTGGTCAGACAGAGTACTTATGACAAGTAAGAAACTAGGCTCATCTGGGCTGATCTGTTCTGACATAAATCCAGCTTCCTGTGCATTTTTAGCCATGGCACCATGGTGCTGCTACAGCATTCCTCATGGCACTTTTAAGTCCATATTCTGTGTTGATTTATCCCAGTTCTCTCAGTGTTAGGCTGTGTTAGGGTGATAGTGACAGACCCGGTTTTGGGGAAAAGAGGCATTCACTGTCAATAGTTGGCATAATGTGGTATCTCAAACTGGCTGGGAAAGCACCCTGAGGTGTGCAAGGACCAGCCCCACAAAACCCTGCAGCACAGGGCCACAATGCCCTTGCACCCACAGGCGTGACACAACCCCTAATCTCCCCACTGAAAGCAGCACTTCGGTAAAACTGTCCACAGAACAGCAAAAGCAGCAGGTTATCTATCAGTTGAGTTAACTTCTTGTGTCAGAGAGGAGTCTCTCACCCAATCCATCTTGGAAAAGCCTCCACTTATGCCTACAATCAAAGACAGAGCCAGCTTTGTTCCCACAGCAACAGACGCAACTCCTATAACATCACCCAGCTTTTTGGCAGTGCCCGACCTCCTTCTGCCGGAGCCCTGACTCCAGCCCTGGCAAAGCCTGCTGAGAAGGGGTTGCTGTGCAACCTGACTGCTGTGCAGCCATCCTTGGCAGCTCAAGACAGCACTCCTCAGTCAAGGCATGCTTTGATGACTGGATCCATGCATTTTTCTGCAAGGAGTCATTTGTTCCCCTAGCAGCTAACATTTCTGGCTCTATCTTCTGTGTGATCAGGCACAGCTTCCTTCCTCTCATACCCACTGGAAAACAACTGTGCCTATCTGCAATGTTTTTGTGTCAGGTTACAGCACTGCCGACAGCCAGGATTCAAGAACACACAGGGAGATAAAGGCCTGGCAGGAGAGGTTTAGGGTCCAAAAGGTTCCATGTGCTATGCAGAATGTTTCCTCTGGATGCCTGCTTGCTTTTCACTGCTTTCTCTTCCTGCCCCCACCTCCTGCACAGTCCCATAAAGCCAGTTTCTCCCTCCAGCCTGGATTTTCCAGCTTTCCAGGAATTTATCAATTATTTCAGGATATCCTAGGTGTGATCTGGGGACAGGAAGCACATCTCTGTTTCTTTCCCTTTCCATGCTTGCATAGCTGAGCTCTTCATTTCTACTTCAACCTGGCTTCTGCTTCATGGCCTTCTCCATGTGTGGGGCAGTGCATTTGGAGGCAGAGTGGATGTCTTGAAGGTCCTGCTGAGGCTCCTACTCATCTGTGGCTGCTGTGAACTTGCAAAATCCTTGAACCTTGAAGCCAAGTGGCTGATACAATTTGAGTGCACGTATACAGTATAATACCCCTTATTGTGACCCCTTTTCTCAAGGCCAGTGAGCATGCAAGTAAAACTAGAATACCACTGCAGTATTTGATTTCATTTTCTTGTGCAGGAAGGGCAATAAATACATCAAAGAATGAAAAAATAAAAAGGTAACAGATGGAATTCACTAATTGCTCTGTTCTCATATTTTTTTTCTCTGAAAAGCAGAGGTATTTAAACATATTCAGACCAAGCCGCTGAGCCCGGCCATTGCTCAGTTGCAAAGTCTCACGCTTTTCATGACAGTAATTTTAGGACATCATACACGGTAATACTAAGTACATCCCGACATCAGAGACATAATTTGAGCATGCTTCTTTGTCAGGAGGTGGCTTCACGGGTGATGGAAGCAGCCTAGGAGTGGGTATCGGCGACACGATCTCCGATATTCAGCCCTCTCTCAGCTCAGGTGGAATCCGCTTGGTGAAGGGTGTCCAGAGGGTAAATCCTGCGGGGAGCGGCTGAGGGAGCTGGGGTTGTTTCGCCTGTAGAAAAGGAGGCTCGGGGGCCCCTTATCGATCCCTATAACTCCCTGAAAAAGAGACCGCGGCCAGGTGGGGGTTGCTTTCTTCTCCCACACACCCAGCGACAGGATGAGAGGACACAGCCTTAAGCTGCACCAGGGGACATTCAGGTTGGACATCAGGACGCATTTCTTCACAGGAACCAGCAAAGAGAAAAGTTTTAAACTTCTGAAACCCTTGCGGTCTCGGCAAAAGGCGCAGGACAGACAAAACGCCGCCAAACTCCCCACACGCGGCCCGCGCCGCTCCGCCCCCTCAGGCCCCGCCCCGCGCGGGGTCGTTGCCACGGGAGCCGCGCGGGGTCGCGCACGCGGCGGCGGCGGGGAAGATGGCGGCGCCCGTGTCGCTCTGTCACATCGCCTGCTGCGCCAACCGGGCGGGCGGCGGCGCCGTGGCTTGGGGCCGCGGCGGCCTCTTCGCCTTCGGCAGCTGCCACGACGTCATCCTCTACGACCCAGTGGTGAGCTGATGCGCTCTGGGGTGGGGCCGGGACCAGAACCAGAACCAGTCCCTGACGCTCGGTGCTGTCTGTCTGTCCCGCAGGTGAGGCGGGCGGTCGCCGCTCTCCGGGGCCACGCCGGCAGGGTGAACTGCGTGCGCTGGGTCCGCCGGCGGGACCGCGGTGAGTAGCGCGGCCTTGCACCCCCTGTCCCCTCGGGGTGCGGTGCCGCGGTGAGGCCGCGGGCTCTGCTGCCCTTGCAGGGGGGAGGAGGCGGGGGAGGCTCGGCAACAGCGGGGCTGTGCTGTACACTGTAGGAGTTAGGGGACTGCGACGCTTGCACTGCATCCTTTCGCCTTATGCCAACTTCCCAGTAGGGACTTTCACAGAATTAGTTAGTTTGGAAATTATCTCTGAGGTCATCGAGTTCAACCTATGACCCAGCACCACCGTGCCAATTAGACCATGGCACTGAGTGCCAAGTCCCATTTTTCCTTAAATACCTACAGGGGCAGTGACTCCACCACCTTCCTGGGCAGCCCCTTCCAATGTCTAAGCACCCTTGCTGTTAAGATATTTGCCCTGATGTCCAACCTAAACCTGCCCTGGCACAGCTTAAGACCGTGTGGTCTCACCCTGTCACTTGCTGCCTGGGAGAGGACACCGACCCACACCTGGCTACACCCTCCTTTCAGGTGATTGTAGGGGCTGATAAGATTTGCTCTGAGCTCCTCTTCTCCAGGCTAAGCATGCCCAGCTCCCTCAGCCACTCCTCATCAGATACGTGCTTCAGACCCTTATCAGCTCTATTGCCCATCTCTGGACCTGCTCCAGCACATTAGTGCCCTTCCTGAATCGAGAGGCTCGGAACTAGACACGGTACTCGAGGTGTGGCCCCATTTTAACAGATGGGTCTGCAGGAATGCGACCTGACAAACCCAGGTGAACTGCCAGGTGAGTGAGGGGATCTCTGCTCCCAGCCCCACAGCCAAAGGCACCCCAATAGGATGTTTGCCTGGGGTACAGCAGCTCACACAGGTTGGTGGCTTTTGCTGCTTCTTCTGCTCCCATTCCCTTTAGTAAGATTTGGAGTTTTGCATGTTTCGACTTTGTAAATTCATTTGCAATGCCTTTTCAGCAGTCTCTGATTATAAAGCTCTGAAGTTGCATAGAGGTTATGTGCTCGAAAAAAGTAATCTTTAGAGAGATAGAAATGTTTGAGACGTTTATGAGGCTTTTGCTGGATAGTAAAACCAGGATTTAACATTGCTTAGGGCAGGATTTTCACAGGCATATATTCTTGCACTTAGGTGCTTATGGAAACTCACTGAAAAAGAGAAATGCAACTGTTGATTAGACTGCTAATGTCATATGCTGCTTCCTGTTTTTGAGAAGTACTGAGGTGCAAACATTTGTTTTTGGTAATGATATAAACTGCCATCCTTTCAATGGTTTGCACTAAACCATATTCTTCTTAAAAATGATTAAAAGAAGTTACTTTCAGGGAATTCAGGAATTAAATTTTCTTGTGAAGCTTTGAATTCTGTTTGTTTACATTTCTCTTGCTTTATTTTCCTATCTTCTAAAAAGACCAAACAAAAACCTAAAATACTAACTTAAACTGTTTGAGAGTCTTTTGGAAAGGTATTTTTATGACTTCCATGCAGAACTTCAAATAGTCCTGTGAATTTTCTCTTTCTGTTTTCCTAGGGAGTATCTTTGCTCTTAACCTGTTCTGCACAGTGCAACTCTCATTAACCATACTTTATTTTGGCAGAAACGTTGGTTTCCAGTGATACTTTGTGAGTAGTAACCAGCAGAACTGCTTATATTGCCATTCCAAAGTTAAGTGTTCACTGAACTAACCAAAACATACTTTTCAGCTTCTGAAACAGAGTTAATTTCTGGTGGATCTGATAAACAACTTATTCTTTGGGAATGGAAAGATACAGTAACGTGGAATAATCAGGTAAGCAGGAATAACCTCTTTTCAAATCTTCTCTGCATTAGTTTCTCACATATCACAAATTGCCTGTTTTATCTGTATTTCAGGTTCATACTATTTGTTTCACTTAGACATTTTTTTTAAATTGAACCCAGTTGAAATTGTTGGTACTTTGTCTTGCTATGTTTTAGTCTAAATGTTGTGTTCTCTTTTCTGTGGTTCATCTCTTTCAAATCACCTTTGGTAAAGAAATTAACTCACCCATCAGTCATTGAATGGATTTGTTTAGGTGTTTGAAAGACCCTGTTTGTCTGTTCTTGACTCGTCTGCTTTCTGATCTCACATGGCTGTTTTCTTTAAACCACCTTAAAACTTTTAAACCATAAGGCCCATTCTGAGCTGGCATTTTCTGTACCCTTCTTTCTTTTTTCCTTATATCCATTTCTAGTGATTTCTGGTCAATCTGTGCAACAGTGTGGGGTTTACATGTAGACAGTCTTACCAGGATGATGTACAAGTTGTAGTAGATGTTTAACAAAAATGAAAATAAAAAATCTGCACAACAATTGGCTTTTGTAAAAGAAATGGAGAAAAGTAAGGAGGCATATTAATTTATTATTTCTACTGTAAAATGTAAGGCAAAAGATTCAGTGTTGTGTGAAAGAGCCTTCAGAATGACCTGAAAATTTGTTGAAAAAACCGCTTTATTATCTAGCTTTTAAAATCTTGCTTATTAGGCATTGTATTGTGAATAGCTGTGTAGGTAACCCATTCCATCATCTGTCTCAAAGTAGATTATTAGACTTGGCATTTTAAAATGCATGAGACTGCATAGTAGGGGGAAATGAATCTACTTTGATGGGGGAGGTTCTCAGAAATAAGTTTTTTCTTATCCTGATCCATTATAACAGTTCCTGCATTTATTTAACTTAACTTACAAATATTTTTATAAAGTTTTTCTGCTGACGTGGTGCACAGTCATATGGCAATAATTTCAAAAGAATGTGGCTAAATGTGCCCATTTTAATGGCAGTTGTAGACTAGTGTAAATTCTTAAAAACAAAGTTCCATATTAAACCAATCGAAAATTCTTACTGTGACCAGACTATATTTTGGAAGAGCTGTCAAGTCTGTCTATGATAAAATTTGGATAAATGCTGGATGACTTCTGGTTGCAAAATTAATAGCTTCTCATTTTGATCTTTATGTTTATGAGGAACAGATTGCAAATTGAATCACCTGTATTCATTGTCTAAATTTAGCGGTTTTGTTTTTCATGTTGGCATTTTGAAGGAGTAAAAAGCTGTTTTGGTTTGTGAGAACAAGCTGAACAGTGCTGCTAGAGCTGCTGTAGCTGCTGTTTATTCCTTCATATTCTCAGCTCTGTGGGCTTCACTGAGGTTCTCCAAACTTTTCTGAGGTGTTCCTTAGGGTAAGGGACAAGAGCAGGAGAAAAAGGAAGGAAAACTTCTCTTTCTAACTTCTATACTGTTTCCAGCTTCTCTCAAGGAAGGGTGAGGTTTGTATAGTGTACACAGGGGCATTTAATTCTGTTCAGCTTTGAGCAAAATCTTATCAAGTTAATATTCATTGCTGCTGTTTCCCTTCTCTGGGTTTCCTGGAATACTCTCTAGTTTAAGCATAGCTTGGCAGACACTCTGCCATTGCAGGTATAGAACTCATTTTCAGTATTAAGGTTTTTTTTTTTTCCTTAAATGTCTTTAACAATTCTGTCATGTAAGTTACCAGAATTTAAAACTTTGTAAAATTTTCTCATGTGTTCAGCTTGTGGAAAGCATTCCTCTCAAAGGCCACACGGAAGCTGTTTTTGCTGTGGATGCTGTCTACCAGTCAGATGAACCTGATTTAAATCTGCTAGTAGCTTCTGCAGCCTCTGACTCTACTGTGAGGATCTGGTCTCAGCATGGTTCAGAAGGTAATATTTTTTTAATGTTAGGGATAGCATACTGGCTAAGTAAGAACGATGAATGCTTATCCATTAGGTATGAAATGCTAACATCTTACTAATGCAACTATATTGATTTCTCTTCAGACTTTAGTACATCAAAGCACTGTATTACTCTTTAAAAGACTTGGGACAGATTTGTTCTGCGAATGATTTATCTTTATATTTCATCAGGGATGTGTGGCCTGAATTTACTTTATTTTAAAATATATATTCAGCTTATGATAATCTGAACCATTATTTTGCTCTGTAATGTGGAGGCAGACTAGCTGTATGCATGAGTGAAGTGAAATTACATAGTCAAATGATTAACGCTGGCATTTAGAAAGGTGAGGTTTAACTAGTCACTTGTTTTTTCCTATTGGTTTGAGTCCAATGAAATTTGGGATAACGGGATCTTGACCTTCTGTTGAACTAGGCCTTTGCGTGGAAATTTGGGAAAACAGCATTCTAAAATACATAAGGAATAAGTTTGGTAGATAATCGAGATTTAAGGTTGAATTGTAGTGACTACATTTCTTTAGCTACTTTCTTCCTTCTCTGGTGTATTTGAAGATTTCATATTGTCTTGCCTGCGTGAGAGAGGTGGGAGTTGCCAATCTACAGTCCTGTGTTCTGGAAGGCATTTTTGGTGCTCCCAAAGAACCACATGAAGTCCTGTCTTTTTCATTTTGTCTTGCTGGTGTGGGTTACAGAGACTAATTCTTCTGCTGTAGAGAGGTTTTTTTTTCTGCTATCCTCTTGTTTATTTTGGTCTGGATGGCTTACTAGTTTAACCATTTCCAGGATCTCAGTGATGTTTGCATGTTTTTGCTTCTCTCTCTAGCTGCTGTTGTAGCAAATGGATTCAGTTTAATTTTCCTATGTTGTGAATGCTGTTGCCACAGGATATATTTTGTCATATTTATTGCTTCTCATGTGTTACCACAGTGAAGCTGTATAGATTTAATACTCAATATTATCTTCTAACTCAACTAACTGGATGAATTTTTATGGCCACACAGAAGATATTATTGTTTAGGCTTCTGAAAAACAGTAGTTTTTTTTCAGCTTCTTAAAATAAAATTGGATGGGAAATTTTAACTATATAATACAGGAGGAAATGACAGTGTAACTGTAATAATTACAGTGAATAAGATCAACACTGTCTGTTCCTGTTTTCCAGCTAAATGCATTGAAATTCTGCAGTTTGGAAATGGATTTGTTATGGATGTCTGCTTATCCTTCTTGCCTGGCAGCGATGGTAAGTAAAGCTGCACATCTTGAATATCAATGAAGGAAGAAAAATCTAAGAAATCTCCCAAAGAGATTTTCAGTTGACTGACTCCAGACCTGTGTGCCACAGTTTTTGTTTTCTATGAAATCTGCTTAAGCTGGTTCTTGTATCTAAAGATTTTCTCTGAGCTCTTCCTAGTAATTAAAGACACAGACTGATGGCAGTGTCTTCAAAATGGCATTCAGATGGAGTTGTTTAGCTGAACTCTTGAGATGGAAAGCTTTAAAACGAGGTAGCAGTGCTGTAAATGAATGGGATAGGATGATGCTGTTAGTTCCACCTGCTCCTTGTGATACTGCTGCATGTTTCTTCTTGTTGCAAGATTCAGAAAAAATCTTGGGAACCATAGGTTCGCAAGCAGTGTTTATCATCTGCTCAGTCTTAAATGTGGAAAAAATTGAAATGCTGAACTACTTTGATCTGACTATTCAGTATGGTTTATGTAGGTTTCTATTAACAGAAAAGTTAGATTTTGTAGACTGCCACAGACATATTCTTTTTGTGCAAATAGGTAGAAGCTTTTTTTTAAATAAAGCAGATGTATCCTCAAGCCAGATACATGTGTTGAATTAAGTTTGTGTTTAAGTATCATTAGAGTCATTCACCTGGTTGGAGGCCTGCCAGGCTCCCAATTGAAAAAGTGCTTAATTTTCTTACTGTATCTGGAATTTTCAGCTCTTTGGTACACGTGTTCCACATTGATGTGTTGTTTTGATTAGATGCCTACAAGCATACTTTATTCTTTGGCTTTGATAATTCTGGCAGCTATGAAAGCTCTCTCAAGACGTGTTGTCCCATTTGGAAATGCCCATGTCTGTTTTCAAAGCCTGTCTGATACCAAAAGCAGCATCTGCGCCAGTAAAGAATATTTACACCTCTCTCTCTTTTCCTGTAAATACACTAACATGTGCTTGTTAAGATGAAGTTAAAAGACTTGAGGGTAAATGAAAATGATTACTGCAAGTGTAAATATTCTTTAGAAGTGAAGTGCCTGTGGTGTGATATATGAGTATAACGTTCATATTGCAAAACAATAGATTGTATCTTCATTTATGATACTATACAGGTAAGAAATTCTCACTGTGACACTCTAGAGTAGTGCATCTGTTCAATGTTGAAGTCACATTGTATATAAGAGAAGTAGTCATACATTCTGAAGACACCATGAATTAAAAATATCATATTAGTTCTTAAAACTAAATGTTTCTGAAACTCAAATTGCATGAAGTGTTTGAAGCTTCTTTGAATGGTGGAATAGCAAGGAATTTGTTTTCCAGAGTCCCCAAAACCAGTGTTGCTTAAAATTACATTGAGAGCCAGACAATCCTTTATTATGAACTCTTCCCATCCCAATTCAGATTAGTTATCCAAAGCAGTACACTGCTCATAAACTGAAAAAGAGTGCTTTACATTTCTCAAGAACTGAAGTTATTTTCAGTTTGCATAATTTCAATTTGCACAAAAATTTCATTTTGTATGGAATTAAAAAAAATTTCTAGATACTTGCTTTTATGTTCCAGTACAAATGACCTCTGCTGCTAAAATTGCCAAGAAACAGTTTAGATTTTGAATTGTAAATGTATAGAAATGTTTCCTGTAGAAATCTGTAAAGGGGCTTTTAATAAAGCACAGCCACTATTTTCTCCCTAAACCTGACATAGTAGTCCATATAGCTGAGGATATGTTAATTCTGACATCTAAATAAAGTAGCTTAAAAATATATTATTAAAAATATCACTGCTGATAATTTGTCAGAAATATTAATCTCTAATGGCAATTTGGAATTTTAATGATCTTCTGGGAAATATGATCTATGATAAATTTAGGAGTTGCTCAGAAGTCTTTCTGAAGGCTAAGTTGTCAGCTGCACAGAGATTCAAAGAAGCTTTTCTCTTGAGAACAATCTGCATTTCTTAAGTCAGGAGCTAAATACAGAATGACTTTTCTGAAAATTGTAAACTACATTTTCTGAAGCATTTACAGTAGCCTCTAATTTCACCAAGAAAAGAAATTTGAGGCTTGCATTGAAAATGGATTCATATGCAATGGATGCTTTAACTTTCAGAAGATGTTCCTGATGCCTAGGATTTTAACTGATTGTCCTTGAAAATAAATTATTTAAAAAAAAAATTTGAGCCACTTTTGTCAAGAAGTCAAATAGGGAAAACTGATAGATTGCTCATAAAAACCTGACCAGTCATTGGCAGCTGGAATGCAGGTTGAACATTTTTCTGGCAGCCTCTTCATTTATGAGTTGCTGTACACTTGCTGTTTAGCCGTGAAGAAGAGCTTTGTGCAGTTTTGGTTGCTTGCTTGCTTTTTTGCCTTGCAGTGTTTGCACAAACTCTGCTTCTAAAATGCTGGCAATAGGATTTACTATTTTACAGATCTTGATCAGACATTTGTCATATAATCTGATTCTTCCTATCACCTGGAAAATTGCTCATGACGTAGCTTGGCCTCTCATAAACAATTGTCTCCTCAGAACTGAATTGCAACAAGTCAGAAAAAAAAGAGCAGGTGAACTTGGAAAAGCTCTGCTTATCCAACTTAGTTTTCTTATTTCCTCTGCAGGAATTTTATCTTCATCAGATCCAAATTCTAATACCCCAAAGCATTTATGTGAAAAACTATATACTAGTCCATTTTTGCCAGGTATATGTTTCTTGATAGAACTTTTTGAGTGAAAGTATTCGCGTTTGTCTGCAATAGCAACTAAATCATAATCCTCTCTTTGGTTTTCTTAGTTAAAGTTTCATTCCATTGAGTAAATATGTAATTACAGTAATGGCCCATAAAATATGTTTCTCAGGAAAGGATGATATTGTCTTCAAGGACATCCATAGTGTTGTATTTTATGGAAGAAAATGTCACTCCTGCCCAATCCCTGTGGACCTGATGACCAGGTCTTCATTCAAAGCAGCTCATCATCTTCAATCTAAAGCAGGTTTTTTTAGGTCTATTAAAGAGAGGAGAAGACAGAGGTGAAAGGTGACTTAGAGGTTGGAGAGAAGAGGCAAGTGATGGAACTATAAGAATGTGGAATGTGACTAAGAAGTGCAAGAAGAGCAGTGGATAGCTAGGCACCGATTTGGTACAAGTAGAAAGAAGAAATTAGTATAAAGGATAAATATATTATGAATATTCAAATTGATTTTTGATCTATCCATAGTAAAGATAAAATTATCTATATGAAGGGATATCGTGGAGGCTTTTTTTTAAAAAAAAGCAGTTGATTTTAGTGAAATTTAGTATCTTGTTTTCTATCCAGACTTAAGAAATGCAAATGTCTACCCTTAACATATAACTTATTTCTTCATAGTTTTATACTGAATTGATTTGCTTTTACTGTTTCAGTCCCGAGCAGTAACACTTCTTCCTTATGATGTAAAAACAGAAGAGTGGAATAAGCATTAACTGTTTTTCCTCATCCTCCTCTGTTGGAGAGAGGAGCTAATACACTGCTTAACTTCTCTTTTTTTAACCTCAGACATAACTTTTTCTGGTTTGATTCAGTAAACTTAGAGGGTGTGTGCACTTTCTAGGTTAGCCAGTGGAAGTCGGCTACTATTCAAGACTTGAGTAGTCTTGAGTGAAAGATATTTCCTTGCTTTCATATTCTTGAGTTCAGATAGTGGTGATCTTACATTTTTGGTCTTTTCATTTGCTATATAATAATTATGCTAACTTCATCTAAACCTGTCTTAGTTGATTTAGGAACTTGAATTGCCTTAGTTCTGAATCATTTTGTTTTGTTCCTTCCTGCTGTATTTAGAGCAAATGCCTGTTGATATAAATAAAATATAATAATTAAAAACTCTAATTCTTGAACTTCCTATAGATATATGAGCTTGAGGCAAACTACTCCTTTTGACATCTTAGATATTTATAGATATTATTTGCATGTCAAAATAACTTTGGAGTTCTGTGTCCTTCAGATAAAAATTTATTAGGCAGCTAATATAGAAAACATTTAAAAAGTGGTATCACACTTGCCTGTCCTAGTATTGTTATGTTTTGATATATTTCTATACTGATTTTTACATTATTTATATTTTTTCATATCCTAGAATATTAAACTTATAAAAAAATGAAGACCTTCTTTTTCTTTCTAGTACCAATACTGGCTTGTGGTGGTGATGACTGCAAAATAAGTTTGTTTATACAGCAGAATGGTCAGGTAATTACAATTTTTGTCTCTTGCTCAGAGCATTACTGAGTTCTTCTGCTTCTTTTCAAATGTGCTGTTGATTTTTTTCAAGTTCTTCAGTAAGTCCTTTCTGTCTCTACATAGCCATTGCATGCAACAAACTTTTTTCAAATAGTTCATCCATTTTTCTAGGTAATGATGAAGTGCACACACAATATTGATTTTGAATTCAGTGCATTAGAGTTTTAGTTTTTCTTGATATTTTTTTTTCCCCCGGTGTGAAGATAGCCTGTTTCTATTCCCACTGATACAAAATAGCTGCAACTGTCCTTCTTTATTAAGTATCTAGGCATTGAGTTGTTCATATGGAAATTATGTTACTTTCATTCTATAAATTCTTATAATAAAACTGTTATTACTTGTTTCTGAGAAATTTTATTTTTATTGCTAAGTATGCCCTTTATGCATGACTGCTTTTGAACATCAAAAAAAGGTATTTTTAGGAGTATCCAATCTTATAGAAGCACACATTTTTAATGTGTTATTTGGAAGCTGGCAATTTTTAGTTTTTCATACAGATAAATATTCCTTTTGAGCAGTAGAAAAACATTATGTCCTCTCTTGCATCTGTTCAGAAGTTTTGTTAGATTCTAAAGCATGTGTTGAATGACTGTTTTCCAAAACAGAACTCAGTATCACTTCTTTCTGTCTCTCACTCCCTTAAAAACACCCCTTCAAAGCACAAATGCTCTCCCAATGCACCAGTGAACCTACCATTTAAAACCCCCCCTTTGAAGCTGGCATATATAGAACCACTTAGTCTGATGCATTTGCTCAGACCCACACCCTTTGGGGATTAAAGAATAGATACTCCTTTTTTGGTTTTTTTGGGTTTTTTTTTTTTTTTAAGAGAGAGACAAAAGCTACTTTATAGATAATTTTTGCCAGTTTGTGCTGCCATGTACAGTAATAAGATTTTTTTGGTTGCGGTTGTTGTCAAGTAAAATAAGTACTTAATCTCCTTTTTCTATGTTTGATGATTTCTTGACCACTCAGTAGAAAATAAGGGTGCTTGGTTAGATTTTTGATTTCTTTTTTCTTTTTTCCTGCATAGCTTGTGACTGAAGTCAGTTTAATGAATTCTCTGGTAGTTAGCAATGGCAGAATGCCACTACTGAGTCTCAATGTGTTAAAAGAAAGACTTTTATCTCGGGGACTGTGCAGTTGGTTTTTCTCATTCAGAGTTTGAAACTTATTTTCTTGTATGATTCATGTTAACAAATTATATACAGTTTGACTGCCAAAAATTTTCAGAGATACATAATTTATTTTGCCCATTGTTGGCCAAACTTTCCAGTATAACAGTATCTGCCATTTTAAAAGGCAGTCAGTCTGTGGAGGGTAAAGGAAGGTAACTGGAATAAACAAGTTCCCTCTTAAGCTTCTTAAACACATTTGTGCTTTTTTTGGAGGTAGGAAACTTTATTTATACAAGGGGTGAGCAATTTTGTTTTGCATGTGTTATTTTTCACAATTTCAATTTCAGAAAGTATTTTCACCGGCTGTTGTGGCAGAGTTGTTGTTCAGAATATGTTTTAAATGAGGTGGGACTTCTTGTTGATGTCTATCTTAACTTTCCAGAGCATCTCTTTTAGCTAAGTGGACTATGCAGGGCTCAAAGAAGAGAGCCTCTGTTGTGCTTTACAACTATTAACAGAACTAAGGCATCCTTGCAAGCCTTCTGACATGAATTCCTGCCTAGCTGGTGAATCTCGTTCATCAGGTTTTCTCAGACCTACTGACACCTTTTTTTTATGGCTTATTAGTAGTATTAGAGGTATTTGAAAGAAGTGTTACTATAGCCTTGCCATTTTTTACTGGAACTTGGCATAGGAGAGTAATTAGAATCTTAGCTCTTGTGGCATTCCCTTACTGGTAAGGGCCTGTAGCTCTGTCTAGTTAGTTCAGTGACTCTTGTAAAGCACTTCCTTTAGTTAACATCCTCAAAAAGGTTGTTATGAATGATGTGATTATGAATCCAGAGGTAGAACATGCATTCTTAGCAGGGCATTCTTATGAAACTTAAAAGGCACTGTTAGACTCTGAGGGAGGATGAGGCATCTTTACTTAGCTAATTCAGGCTTTTGGTAAAATCATTAATTTTACAGTCAAAATGTACTTATTCATTAAAAACTGCTTGGTTTTTAAAACTGAGTGGGCATGCTTTACAGCTTTTGATGTTCCCTACCCATAGATCCCTTACTGTGTTAAATAGTAGAGAGAAAATGAACTCTTCACTTTCCTGACTTGTTGGGAGAGGGCATTGATTTATAAAAGTATCCAGGGAAAAATCTTTCAGAAACCATAACATGTCTTTCTGCTTGAGATAACATCTACAAATGTGGCCTATGGAGGGCAAGCAGATTAAATTAGAGTTTTAAGCCAGAACATTTCTGTTTGAACTTTGTTCTTCTGAGGAGGTGGTGCACTGTGTGTTTTGGGTTCCACCCAAATAGTTTGGCATAGTCGAGAAGTGCAATAGGGGGATGAATCAAAGATAATTCAACCTCTTTCTAATCTGTTGAGATCAACAGCTGTGTAGAGGAGGGACACATCTAGTGTCTGCTGAATTAAAAATGAGAAGACTTGGACCAGTATTGCCAAATTTGGCTAATAGCCAAACTGCTATTAGCCTGGTCTTGAAAGAGATGTACCCAAAGTGTGGGCAGGATTAGTTGTGCAGAGTGTGCTGGGCATGTCCACAGCTTCATTAGTTGTGCTACCTACAGAACAGCTTTATTCTTTGCTTAAAAGGAAAGAGACCAGATTGCTGCTAAGCAACAATATTCAAAGATTAGTAAGGAGCATGGGAAAGCCTGTGAAGTAGAGTCAGACCAGGAGGTTTTGTTAGATTTGACTGTTGGTACTGTAACTTCTTATGTATCTAGTGAGGACCAAATGCAAACTGAAACAAAGAAGAAATTTGAGACTATAAAAACAAAATCTGTAAAAAAGAGATGAATGACAGCTCAAAATACTGGTGTATATACAACCTAGACAGTAATAGAAACTTTGACTGAATCACCTAAAAATAATGACCATGTGCGTCTACACAAACCTTTTTATTGATTCAATTATAGAACTGAATATATCTGAAGAAACTGGATGTAGGATGCCAAGAGACAAAAACTTCAAAGAAAAGGGCAAAAACAATACTAAAAGTCCTAGCATAACAGCATAAACTACTCCTTGCTCAATTTCAGTCAATGATTTTTATTTTTATGGGAAACAATATCTTGAAAACTTTGACTGAATCACAGAATCTTAGAATATCTCAAGACTGAGGAGACCCATAAGGATTGCTGGGTCCAACTTCCTGCTCCTCACAGACCACCTAGAACTAAATTATATGACTAAGAATGTTGTGTTCCTCATGCTTCCTGGCATCATCCTTCTGTTTATGGTAATAACACTTGAGCTCACCTCTGTGTTCCAGCCACTGTACTGACACTGCTCAGATGGGTGCAGAGTGTAGGATGTTGTTACAGAGATGGGACAGACAGCAGCATGAGTTTCTCATTTAAGGGGCTGGATGCATTTGCAGTGGTTTGGGGGTATCTCTCCTCAGCAGTGAGGCCTCCGTACATAATCTGGTGCTGGTATTACTGCTGTGGGTGAATATGAGATAATTAAATTCAACAGTCTCTGCCTTAAATCGTGTGGATAGTTCAATGGGACTATTCAATGTAGGCATATAAAAATAAAAAGTAGTACAGAATTCTAGCTGAATGGTTAAGCGTGCTTGTTCTGCAGCAGGAAAGAACTGCATGCTTCACTTAAATCTAAGTAATGCCTAAAAACCTGTTTGGGAAATGATTTAGAAATCTGAGGTCGTATTAATAATCTCAAAGTAATTAGTTTTAATCTTTTAAGGGAGAACAAATGGCTGCTTTTCTTAATAGATTTCTTTGATGTAAGATGAGGAGGGTAATTAAAAAAGAATCCCACATGACAACACCTTGAAAAGGGAAAATTATTAGATGTGTATTTAGATTAATATTAAGGTCAAGTTTCAGGAGATATACCCACTGTTTAGTGTAAAAGGAACCATAAAAGAGAGGACGTTAGCAACAGTTCAGCCTGAATCAATCTTTCAGTTAGAAATAAACTTACCAGCTAACTGTCATGACTATAAAATACAGAGCATTTTGTCAAAGATCATATAAATGAATAAATAAATGTGTTGTATCTATTATCTGAGATGTCCATTCCCAAATATTTTTTTCATGTATTACCAGATGCATGTCATCTTCAGAAAAATCTTTAGGTTGCTGTTTCATCTCACTTTCCTGGACTGTTCCTGCCTTTACACATAACCTGTTGGATGTTTAACAAAAACATCAGTCTGGAATGCCCCATTTGGAAGTGCCAGTGGTTGCAGAAGTGACCACCAAATGAGGCTTAGGTGGCTGTGAGAACACATTCTTAAGACCTAAACTCTGATTTGTACATATCTGATCAGCTTGGTCTGATCATGTATCCTGTTCTGGTCACGTATCTCATATATAGATGGTTCTGTAATTTTAGGGATGTTTTACAAGTGCACGTAGTTGTAGGAGAAGGGCAATGGCTTCAAACTGAAAGAGGATAGGTTTAGAGTAGATATTAGGAAGAAATTCTTTACTTGAGGGTGGTGAGACACAAACAAGTTGCCCAGAGAAACTGTGGATGCCCTATCCCTGGAATGGCTTGGGGCCAGGTTGGATGGATTTTTTAGCAGCCTGGTCTAATTGAAAGTGTCCCTGCTTATGGCTGCAAAGGGTGTGTATCTAGATGATACTTAATGTCCTTTCCAAATTAAACCATTTTATGATTGTGACTGCAGATGTGTGATGAGGAGAGGCAGAGTAATATTGTTTGATGGGAACGTGGTTTTGGAGAATATGAGAAATGTTGGATTTCAACAGAGAGGCACCAATTTCTGAGTATGGATTTTTTTCATACACACACAAATTTTTCTTTTTTTTTTTTTTTTTCTATCATGGATTAGAAGAGAGACCTCAGTTGCAGACTTGTGCTAGTAGCACTGCTGTCATTTAGTCACAGCTCTAAGTAGGCCTAGGTAAGGGATTTTGTAGAATATAATGCCAGAAATAATGTGATAAGTTATTCATACTAAACTTCACTAGTGTTTTAACTGTAACAGTTACTTGAGACATTTTAATTCAACTTAGAATAAAATAATGTCATGGAAATAGGGCTGTTTCTGGGCAAAGAAAAGCAGAAATGGGTTAAATGCTAAGTAAGTAGTAAATAGTTGTACTTGAATCAAAATAAAATGGCAATATTACATATGTTATAAATGAAAATAAATTGCTACTGAAGTGTTCTTAAAAGGGAATCCAGCCTGTGTTTGCATTCCGGTGTTCCTGAGCCTGTGTTCGTGCATAGTTTTCCATCAGCAGTTCTTGATGTATACCTTCCTTAGAAATGTTATTAATAAACTTAAGAAACATAGAGACTTTCCAGTACTGATTCTTATTGATCATATTCTATTAAAAATTTATTCTTGAAATAATTGCAAAGCATTTACTCTTCTTTTTATACTTGATTTCACCTGTATTCATTTCCTTCATCATCTGCAGTTGCATCCACTTCACACAAATACAAGAAGTTACTTGTCACATCAAACTTGGATTATGTTATTCTTTGTGTACCACAGTAAGCCTGATAAAAAAATTTCAAATGTATCATAGAGACCCTGTAGCCCCTTGAAGGTGTGCACCTTAAATTCACATCCTTTCCTGCTCATATATGGGAAATGCCATAATATTACATATGCTTATCCAGTGGTGGCAGAACCGAAAAGGCTCATCTTGAATCTGTGCATGAATTACAATCTTTAGTAGTGGCTTATTTTTTTCCCTGTTTCAAATAATCTAAGTTATAAATATAAAAAACTTGAAAAAATAAGGCTTATTGCTGATATGTGCATGATAATAAGGTGCATTTCGGTGATGTAACAGGAGTTTTTATTCAGTTTCAGAAAACATTAGTACTCCCTGGCCATGAAGATTGGATAAGAGGCGTTGAGTGGGCCATCTGTGGTCAGTATGCAAGATGAATAAAGTAAAATGGTGGTTTAATGGCATTACAAGTATTTTACCCCTCCAACAGATGGCCTTTGATGCACAAGAGCACCTAAGCTCTCATGGTTTTGATGTTTCTTTTCCTGAGATGGTGGTAGTTAATATTAAAAATCAAGATGAAACTTTGTATCCTTTAAAACCGTTTCTCTTTCTTGTTTCAGGCATGTTTACATGACTGGTACTTAAATGCAAACAAATTGGGGTTTTAGCAACTTGTCCTTTTCAATATACAAATGTCTGTATCTGAGTGAGGAAGAGTTGTCTGTTTTTTCAAAGTGGAGAGAGTAGGGGGAAATAGTTTGTTTATATATTCCTGCCCTTTTTTTTTTTATTGGGAAATTAAGAGGAGAATCTTTGCAAACATTAACTAATCAAATAGTTACTGCAATGGCACAAAAAAAAAATTGAAATTGGAGGATGCTACAAGCCTAGAGGATGAAAAGGAAGAAAGGAGATTTTGGCAAGTGTTGAGACTGATAGAATTCCAAAAGCAAAAGCCATAAATAATTGGGAAGTATAAGTATAACATGTACATTGTTTACCATACCTTCCACATCTTACAGGCAGGGACATTTTCATAGTGTGTTATAAAATAGTCGAGAATTTGAATGGGGAAGTGAATTGATGTTGAAATAAAACAGTGGATTTTTTATGATACTGTGTACAATAGGAAAAATTTGGATAATGCTATTAGGTGCGTGTATGGAAAGATGGTAGGTTAGTCATGGCAGTGGTTGCAATGAAAATGTGGCTCTATTTTTTTTCCCCTTCTTTTTTCTGAAAATGAATAGGTGAAGATCTTTTCTTAGCAAGCTGTGCTCAGGATTGTTTGATAAGAATTTGGAAAATATGTACAAAATTAAAGCAACTTCCAGAAACTGAAGATGATTCCATTAAGCTAAAAGAGAATGTTTTTACTCTTGAAGGTAGGTAACAACTGTAAAATTCTCTGGAACAACTTTTCACTAGTGTATCTTATCATGGTTCCAGGGAAGCAGACAAGGTGGTTACCACCTAATTTGGTTTGTTCTGTGTTGACTGCATTGTTTGTAGCTGTTAAGAAAGCAGAATTACTGTTTTAAAGCCAAAAGTTAATGATGTATTACAAGAAATGGTAAAGTAATCAGAGAGCTTAGTACCAACATGAGTTATTGTTATGCATGTTCCAAATGTAATATGTAGGGCACTTATTTGTCTGTGGGAGGGAAGCTGTTGCATAGTTCTCCAGTTTAATAGCTTACCTTTCATTTTCTTTCTAATTCAATGAATTAAGAGGTGTTGCTATTACTTAATGATTAGAAACAACATACTGGAAGGAACAGATAAGTATGTGCAGGCTTGCTTTATGGTCGTTTAACAAGGTGTTTAAGCATGGTAATATCAGATGCTTGCGTTGCTGACATTGTAGGGTAAATTGTTTGGCAATCTAGTTAATATAATGAAGTGTGTATGATGCTGTGTGTAAAAAGTGCTCATGATGCTTCCTGCAAATCCTGATTCATTTGAAATACCTTAATGCTTGTGTTTTCAGTCATTTGGAGATTCAGATATGTGTAAGAGTATGCGTAGTGCCAATTTGGAGTATTTATTTCAATGCTTCCTGAGAGTTTTCCAGGAATTCTGAGAGACCCCTCTGAGGCAATACACTGACTGACATGTGACCATCAATCTGGTATTCAGGGCTTGTGCCAAAGTACAATTCCAAGGAGCTGTTCTATGTCAGGAAGCTTTTGAGATATTGGCAGATGTTGAAAGCAATTGATTATTTTTGCTAAAGATATCAGAAATTACCTGGTCTTTCTTGGCTTTTAGAAAAAATATGCTGTTCTCTGATTTCTGGTAGATGCTGACACATCATATGCAGTTTCTTTGGAGTCTGTGTTGGCTGGTCATGAAAACTGGGTGTATGCAGTTCACTGGCAACCTTCATTTTCCAAAGGTAAAAAGATATCAAATACTTAGCAACATATACATAGAGTACAGTCACATGTCTTTGTATTCTGTTTGCATGTTCCTGTAGACGATGACAGTCTTTAAATTCTGCAAATAATGTTTTATGAGTGAGCAGGCGTTGCCTTGTACTCACGTTTTCTTTAAGGAATGAAATTAAATAACAGAGCTGTAAAGACTTTGTTGTAATTGATTTGTTGGTTATGGTGTACAAATTAATTTAATTAATCAGTATGAATTAATAGCTCTAATAGGTTACCTTGATATATGTAATTGAAATGTCTGTTCTTCAGAAGGTAAGCATTACCTCAAGAGCTCTCCTTTCTTTTTAGTGGTGTTGATTCCTGGAGTATGAGTTTTCTCTAGCATGTAATTTTAAAGGCATTAGTGCAGACTCCCATTGAAACAGTTATTTATAGTTTTATTTTGCATTTTGCTCTAGTATTTATCTTTCTTTGAAAATCCTTAAATTCTGACAGCCTTGTTTGCAGTACTGTTTTGCTGTTATGTATTTACCTGGCATATAAGGGAAGGAGATTCTTTATTTGACGTTGCACAATCAGAACCCTTGAATATTTGTACTGACAAAGGTGTCTTTTTTTTTTAATATATTTTAGAGTTACTGATGGCAGGTAACATTGGCGGTACAAAGGACAGCTTTGCTTGTGTATTTACAACACTTGAACAGCAGAATGACATTAGAGTGTCAAAATACATGTAGTGAAAGACACAGGACTTGCTCTAAAAATATTGGTTTAGTTATCTCATCCTTAAACTTTTCTCTTTTTTCTAAATTAGACACCAGTAAAAGATTTAGAACAAGGTTTAGGTGCAATGTAGGCCTGTTAGCCTTGCACTGCAGTCTGAAAACTGTCCTGTTAGACCATGAAGTTTTCCATGTTATGTTTGTATTGTGGCCTGCCCAGTGCTGGGTTCCCCAAAATAGATTTTCACTAGAGGCAAACTGATCTGGGAGACATATTCTCAGTGCAGAAGGTGAGAAGTCTGTTGCTAATATATCACCTCATGAGATGCCTGCCAATATCTCTATTATCAAGAAAAGTTCCTCTGGTTTTCCTTCCGGTTTCGCAACTGATGATGAACCAGCTCCCTCTTTCCCATTCTATGTTGGGCTTTCTTCTGAAGTGTTTCAGTGTGCTCTGGGGAACAGTCCTGAGTTACTATAGGTACTACAGGTTGCTAGAGACTGCTGAAGTCAGTAGCAAACCTAACAATTTGGGAAAAAAAAACCCAAACAGTGAATACTGTGCAATTATTTTAAACTGTAAATCTCTCAGTTAAAAACTTAATTAAGGAACAGAACTGAGAACTGCTGTGCATTCTCTTTGTGAAACTCTAGCTTTTCTTCCAAACTATGTTTAATTCAATATAAGTTTGGAGTGAGAAAACTGTGGAATATGGTTGTTCTCCTGTACATGTTTACTTCCCTTTGGGTGATTATGGCTGAGAATACAGTATCTCCTGAAGAATGCCTGGCAAGAAGGTAGACCCTGTAAATTTGGGATGTAAGAACTGCCTTGCATATCTCTGATGCTGAACAGTTTTTTAAATGTGTTTATATTTCAGTCTCACCTAATTTCTTTAGAAAGTATGCTCCTAGGTTATAGGGTAATAATTTTCCTTGTACTGTAGATGGCAGTATGCAACAACCAATGAGGATATTATCCGCATCAATGGACAAAACTCTGATCATCTGGGAACCTGATAAAGAATCTGGAGTCTGGCTGGAACAGGCAAGTGTCAGTCTTTCTAACAATATGTACTGTACTCAAATTGTGTTTCCAGCATCATGTGGGTACTGTAGGGAACAAAAACGCTCTAAAATTCTGGCAGAGAAAGGAGAAGTGCTTTCTTGCAAAAATACTCATTCCAATGCTCTGTTGTGAGTAAAACTGTATTTCAAAAAAAGGGATACAATATGATTTTTACTGCTTTTTTCTGTGTTCTTACTACTAAGGAGTTTAATAAGGGGTGTTTGTGCTCAACTGTCATTCATAGTGTACAAGGCAGGGGCTGCATAGTAATGCATGCTATGTACTCCTGGTAAGAGGAGGAAGAAACTCTCTTGAACTATTTGCAGTTCATCCTTGTGAGAATGTGACCTAAGCAGTTACTACAGGGCAGCTGACATGCAATTCACAAGCCTGATTTTACTCACAGTTACTTGATCATTGGCTGTGTCATTAGGTTTTTCTTCCATTTGAGCTGAATACTCATGTGTCACCCATGTAGTATTGTGACAGCTGTTCTGATGTGGATCATCCTAAATAAACAAGTAGTACAACCAAATTTCACTAGTGCTTTGATTGATGTCTTTTCAGCTGACCTGCTTTTCCAAATTGCAGTAGTTCAGTTGAAGTTGTTTTTGTTGTGCCAGCCATTGTTTGTGATCTTTCCTTTCACAAAGAAAGTTCCATTCATCTCTTGGGTGAAAAAGCGAGAATTACAGTAGTTTATTTAATTTTTCCTCTCTTTCATTGAAAAGTTCTGATGCCTTTCTGCTTGAAATAGAAAACAGTTCATAAAAGAGCAATCACATAGAGATGCCATTTGATGTCCCTAGGTGTAACATAGTTGTGGCTAAATTCACAAGCTTCTAAAAATGGATTGTGCATGAAAGCTTGTTGCAAGTTGTGATTCTTTAATTTTACGTTCTCTTTGTATTGGTTTGACCACAAATGTGCAACTTCGAGGTCAGATCAGACATTTTAACTGCAAAAATCCGTTTTGCCTCAAGAGGGGGAAATCTGAGCTGGAAGCCTGCAGGGAGGAAGTGCACAAGGGGAACATCCCAATTTCTCCCTTTCATCATGATATGATGAACACGATGTCTTCAGAAATTCATTCCCCTGCTCAGAGGTGAGACTAGAATTCTACCTCTAGCATGGCATATCAAACTCACTCCAATATGAGTGGTATTTTGTTTTGAATGAGTGCTAATAAGATAGAACTACTAGTGCAGTGCCATTTAAAATGGGGCATTGGTTCATTTCATTTTGATCTTAAAAGAGGCTATATAAGAATGGGGGAGTTGAAAGCTTGAAAGAAATTGTGGTTTTATGTCTTGAATAAAACTTGAAAATGTAACTATTAATCTTTTAATAAAATTTAAAAAGGAGAAGGGCACTAGAGCAACTGTCAGGCCTGTGTGTATGCATGCATACATATGTGAGAAGTCAGAAGAGAAGCACAAAACAGAGGCCAGAATATGTCACAGGAGTGTGGATCAAATTGCAGATGTTCATGGGGAAACAGGGAAGTTAAAATATGTTAGGGAATCTTGGAAATTAAGTAGGGAAGAAAATGTACTTGGGAACTACTGTCTCTTTGGGTCATTTTTCTGTATTATGCAACAGAGCAGTAACCAGACAAAAGGAGCTATAGTATCCAACAAGCTGGACTGAAACACAGAACATTTGGGTTTACATCTCATCTAATGTAGTGTTTTCTTTCCCTTGGGGGATCCTATATTGACATGTCTGTGAAGGGAGGCTCCGTTCAATTGGGATGCAGGTTTAATTCCCATGACGTTTCACTCTTAACTTTGCAATTAAAATATTCTTCAAATGTATCTGTGTGTGTAATGTGAACTCTTGTCTATAGGTAGTTTTTCATCTCATGAAGTCAGAATGATTTTGTAGGAATGGAAGGCCATTGTCATGGATATTTCGCTTCTGTTCATTAATTTAGGTACGTGTAGGTGAAGTCGGTGGCAATACTCTTGGATTTTTTGACTGCCAGTTTAGTCCAGATGGTTCAATGATCATTGCTCATGCTTTTCATGGGGCACTACACCTTTGGAAACAGGCTGCAGTTAATAAGGTATGTTGTTTTTTTTGTTAGCAGTATTAGTTTAAAGAACTGTACTTTTAAGTCATTTGAGGTAAATTTCTGTTATTAATAGAAAAGCGTAACAGTATAATTTAAAATTAGTGATTGAAATTGTCCTTTTATGAGTATAATATTCCGTAGGAGTCTCACTCCTGCATAGAAGGGAGGTTGAAATCCTCCAGGCTCTACACCCTATTTCTTACCTGTGGGGATCATGAAGTCAGTTGAACAAGCTGAACTCCTTTGTGGTTGTGCTTTGTTCACAGCTGAACAAATAACACAAGTTTCTTTCAGATGGGAGAAATGCGTCAGTATTTATGTCTCTTCAGCCTCTCTTGAGTTCTAATAGTTTGCTGTTTACAAATGTATTTTTCTTACTTTCTTATAAGCACATTATTGTATGTGCCTATACACATTAGACAATTTTATTTTGCTTAGAATGTGCCAATCAGTCAAATGAAAAACTCCTTACTTCTTTGTGGAACTCTTTTAATAGAAAGAATGGAGTCCAGAAGTTGTGATTTCAGGACATTTTAACAGTGTAGAGGATGTAAAGTGGGATCCAGAAGGAGAGTTTATCATCAGTGTGGGCTCTGATCAAACTACGAGACTCTTTGCTCCATGGAAAAGGAAGGAAGAGACAGAGGTATGATCTTCAAAGATTTTGTGAGTGTGGTTAAGGGGACTTAGTTGGTCCTGAGTTTGGAATGAGTTGTCTGAATATAACTCAAACCTTAAGAGTTCCATAAGTGATGATCTGTTTAAAACTGCTTGGTTTGGTCATAAAGTGTGTGCTGCTTTCACTTTAAAAATATTAGTGGCAGAGTTTTTGCAATCACACAGTATGATTGCAGTTCAATCCTGAATCCATGTCCAGATTGCCTTCAGTTAGTGTTCTCCCAGAGTCTTGGAAAACATGCTCTGCAATAATTCAGAAGGAGGAATACATGACTGGTACTAATAACCACCTATTGCAGTGTTTAACAATTGACTACACTGCTGTGGGTAACAATAAAGAAACTCAAATTTGGTTGTGCTTTTTTACAGTAACATAATCTAAATAAAGTTCTTACTGTATTTTTTTACATTAATTTGGTAATGACTTTGTTTTACTAGAATGATTATCTGAACTACATAAGTGCAGCTGTACCTGTCCTGTTCTAACCCCCAGCCAGTAACTAAGGACCACACAACTGCTTGCTCACTCCTCCTGCATTGAGCTGGGGGGAAGTCTGTCTAGGAATGCAGAAGTTCCTGTTTCTTGTTTCTCATGCATTCTCCTCCTTTGCAAATACAACATTTTCTGGCAGAACAGTACCAATGCTCCATTCAGGAAACTGTCAGAAACTAGACTGACTGTAGTCATATAAGGCCCTGTGCCATAATTGGGGGAGGCTATTATAGCTGTCTTATCAAAGCTTCTGTAATGCAGACCAGCACAAGAGGTCTGACGTTTTTGAGAGAGTGAATTTGGCATCAGTTCTTTGGTTTCCTTCTTCCAGGCCACACAGGATTGGTGGCAATCCCAGTTTGTTCAAGAGCTACATTTTGCCTTGTGTTATAGGAAGGACATTTCCAGTTTCCTTCCCTGCTTTTTACCTTCATTTCCACTCATGAGGGTACATTAAATATATTGAAACAAAGTTCAGGGCTAGCATGTAATGTCAGTTGACAGCATTCAAGAATAGTCAATATCACTTTCTCTGTGACCTGCTGAAATACCACTCTTTATTATGTATGCTGCTTGCTAAATTTCAATCCTGTCTTCTGAGAGAAGAAGGACTTGTTGCACTATTTGATTTTTTTTTTTTTTTAAAGAATGAATGCTTTTTTCCTCACTGAAAAATAATCAAGCCCTTGTGAAATTAGGATGTTTTGTAGGATGTCTCTAATTTCCTTTCAGGTCCCATTGGAAACTTCAACGTTCAAAACTCAATCGAATTTTTAGCGTGATATGTGCAGTTTACAGTCAATACAATGCCTTTGCTTGTATTCATATGATATCTAGTCTTGGCTACAGGCATTGGAATACTGAAGTAGTTATTTCAATTAATTCTGGTTCTTCTAGCTTTTAACTCAACAGTACACGCTGGATTTTTCCAACTGAAGTATCATCTAGGTGAAGTAGCAAATGACACTTAGGAAAAATCTCTTCCTGAAAGAGCATTTGCTGGAAAATAAATGTTTTTCTTTTGAAGAGTCATTTTTCTCATGTGTAGAGTAAGTCAGTTTTTTTAGAAAAGTAATTAAAATAATATCTTTTTTGCTAATATTCTTTGTTTAGTATGACTATAAAACTAGCTTGTCTCTCTGTTTTGGTTTATTGTTAATTCTTGTTTACTTGGATTAACACTTGAATAGTGGATAGAATATATAAGGAAAGTGGGAAAAAAGAAAACACTTCTACAATTATCCAGATTTTCCAGATTATTTTTGCAAGAATCTGTTATAGGTTTTTGTCAGTTTTTTGTAAAGCTTCTATTAAATGGGGTCACTTGAATTAAGTATTTAAAGAAAAGAGGGAAGTAGGAACCTGTACCCTGCTGACAGCAGTGCTACTGCTTTTTGTGAAAGACAGATAAAGGAAGCAAGGTAATTATCACTACCTTTCTTAGGTCTTTCAGACCTACAGTCTTGAAAGTAGTAGGATACAAACCTCTTTTTGCTTAGGCAAATTATGTTCTATTACTGACTGCCTAGCATAAAGAAGTCACAGTAAGTGCCTTAAACACATCTGTGCAGGGACACAGTTTACTAATTACAGGAATGGTTTGATGGAAAAAGAAGATTCAATTGATGTATGTGAGCACCAGTTTTATGCACATCAGTAGAAGGTTGCTCTTAACTTTGCTTTAGGTTAATAAATTCAGCAAGTAAAGTAGTGGTGCGTATTTGGAACTTTAAATTGTGCTGCTCCTCTGCTTAAGAATTGTGTTTTAGCTGTGTGTCTGCTCATTTTTAGGTAACCTGGCATGAAATTGCCAGGCCTCAAGTACATGGGTATGACCTGCGCTGCCTGGCAATGATTGGCCGGTTTGAGTTTGTGTCAGGAGCAGATGAAAAAGTGCTTCGAGTTTTTCGTGCTCCCAAGAATTTTATAGAAAATTTCAGTAACATCACTGGTATTCCAATGGAGAAACTCTGCTCCCATGTAAGTATACTAAAGCAATGCTTAACAAAGAGAACCCTCTTAGATGTAGAATAAGTTCAATGCTTCAGAAAATGTCAGATTGCACTAAACTTTGTAAAAATTCTTTTAGTCCTACTGAAACTGTAACCTTGTTTTTCCTTTCCCTTCTGCTTGCTTCTATGTGTGTTGTTTCATATGTATTTTTATGGTCTTATCATATGAAACAGGTTCTATTTGAAACCAAACGAGACCTTGTGTCAGCAGATTGAAAAGAGTGTGGGTAAATTTTAAGTAACCCAAACCAAAGTAGACCGCTGTACACACTTGGGGATTAAGCAAACAATGAAGCCTATTAATATGTTTCCCATTAATTTAAGGGTGTAGTAGTCTTGTCTAGATCTGATTGTTGTGTGGTTATGTGTTGGTATTACTAATTTTTTTAATTGTATGCTTGGAAATAGCATAAAGCTTTTGGCACTATTTTTAGTTCTTATGTACAAATATTTATAAATATGTGTTTGCTCATGCTTTATTTTCTCTTGGCACTTGGAAATTTTCTTGAGGCCTTTACATTCTAGTTCTTAGTTGTGGGTATGCCAGCTGTCCTGTATGGATATGGAGTTGCTATCCTTCGTTGTGGCTATGTCCTTGCTTTGTTTGCTCCCCATTTGCATTAAAGTCTAATTCTGATTTTGTCTGCATTTTGTAGAGCAGACCTCATTCAAGATAGTTACCTCTTTACAGTGCCTTGCATGCTTTTTGGATATCTTACTCAAAAGCAGGGTTTTCTGTGCAGTTTCTCAGAGATGGATCAGCCTTTCCATTTAATTTAACAGTTGAAATATCTGGGATAGAAATAGAATAATTTTTGATAGCAAGGAGTTACATAAGTAGCTCTTTAGTGCTTTAATTCCACAAGACTTCGTAAGCATTTACATTAATGACCATTGAACAAATAACGTTGTGCTTTTATAAGGTTGGCAGATGACATTATTTTACTTTATGTAGACTTTTCTTATTGGCTTTTCCTCTGTGTGCTGTTTTTTGATTACTATCAGAAAGTGTTTCACATGGGCTTTGGTTAAAGAGGACAGCTTTATGAGTGCTAATTATACAGCTGCTTTTAAATAGCTTTCTTAAAATTGTTTTCTGTGAAAGCTTTTCTATCAATAAAGTGGGGAAGCTATTTTATAATTTGGCTTAAATGCCTTCTGCAAAAAAATACCTGAAACCGAAAAACAGCTTTATATTCAAAAAGGGTTGAATAGGATTATATGCAGTTCAAATCCATAGGATTGTATTTTACTTTGGGTTGTAATGAGGAAGCATTTTTGTTTTACAGGCCTTATGCTTGTCTGGGTCTCTGATACATTTTCTTATGTAATTATGAGCATTTAAATACATTTTAAGCTGTCACCTAAAATATTTATTCTGTAAAACAGTCTTTCTTTGAACTTTCCTGATACTATAAGGAAGTGGGTTTACAGCTATTAAATCTTTTTTTATCTCTAGGCAAAGGTCCCCAAGTTCACTTTCTAAATTTTTACTCTTTTCCCTATATCATTATGGAACTATTTTCTGTCTGATGATTTGTCTTTCCCTTGTGCTGCTTTAAACAGACACGTATTCCAGCCGCATCTCTCTGCTACTTACTGAGTTGCATTTCAGGTTGTGGTCACAGGCAGTCACCCTCTGTTCTCTTTTCCAAAATGCTGCTTTATTATTTCACTTCAGAACAACGATTTCCCAGTTCTATTGTGTTAAAAACTGCAGTGCTCTCAGTTAATAGATTAATTGTCATGTATGTGCTAAAATAAATATAATTGTGGAAGAAAACCTGCAATTAGCATTGAAGAAAATCCTTAAGCTGGGGCCTTAGAAAAGCACTTTTTTGTTGTTGGTTTTTCTTTTTCTTTTTTCTTTTTTTTCCAATCCTTTCTGACAGAATACTGTTTTTTATGTTGTCCAGGGTATGTTCTGGACAAGAGTTTTCCAAAGCACCCCCTTCACTTCTCTAGGAAAGTAACTCTAGAAACTCTTTGGGATTCCTTAAGCTGTTGCCTTTGATATCCAAGCCTGCATAACAATCTGTGTGTAACTTTTTTTTTTCTTTCTTTAATTCAGCAGTCATCTGATCTTCCAGAAGGTGCAACTGTGCCAGCTTTGGGATTATCCAATAAAGCTGTTTTTGAAGGTATTGCTAGTGAGAAATAATGATTGTGGTGTTTCATGTGGGAACTTTATTTAAGGGATTGTTTTAGTGTACATATTAGGCCTGTAAGTGTAGGCTTGACTGCAAATTCAGAATCTAGAAATAAAATCATGCAAAGTGTTTATTTCTTTGCTAGCACCTAAACATGGTGCTTAAAAGGGAAAACACAAATAAGGAAGAATTAGTTAGCCAACAGTAACTAATATCTTGGAGAGGCAGTGGAGATTACATTGTGGGGGAACAAGGAAGGACAGACAGACATCTCCCTAGAATGATAAAAAGTATTTTCCTGAGACTGGGAATGAGACTAGTGGTCTGTTTTTTCATAAAGTCTCTGGTAAAAATGCATTATAGTGGAATGTAAAATTAGGTCAGATCTGTTTTTTCTCTGTTTAAAACTTTATCAGAAGGTAATAAGCTTTGTCTCCAGGGTCTTCAATGGCAGTAAGCCAAATTTTCCTAAATCGTTTGTGAGAGAAAAACCAACTTTGTTGTTCTTGAAATAACTTGTAAAATATATTTTGACAAAGCTTTTTCCCCCTGCTTTCTCATGAGTTCTTTCAATGAGAGAGGGAACAAAACTTCCTTCTGGATTATTGCCACACACAGAATAACTAATTTCCATTGATTTCATGTGGCTCAACCAGAAGCAGCACCATGAATAGAACCTTCCTGCATCATCCACCACTGCTCACACAGTGCTGTCAGCATTGATGGCTTAGGGTAAAACACCACAGACATGTTCCTGCTTACTCTGCAGAGCAATCTTCATGGTGAGCAATGGTCGGATAGTGGTCTCAGATGAGTGTTACTCATTTCATTTTCAAAGAGTGTAAAGGTGGGATGAATGAGAAGATAGTCTTTGCTTTGCTTTTTCTGTACCCTCTTTTTGAAAACGCTGTGCTTGAGATGTATATTTGGCAAAAAGGCAGATTCTGTCTGAGAGGAACTGTTCCCTGTCTCTGTACCTTTTTCTTAATGCATTCACAATGAAGGACAAGTTGAATTTTAACTTACAATTAACTAGTTTCAGTTACCTCTGGTACTTTTGACTAAAGCTAAGGACTGAGCCCTCAGCAGTTTCGCTGAAGTTTGCAAGTTGTATATATACTTGCTCAAATATGGGTTTTCATTTGGTGATCTACATCAAATTTAGGAACTCCTCACTTATATCACAAATTTTTGTTTTCAACTTTTTCAAATACAGAAGGAAAGCTTTAACATTGAGGAAACACAGGTTGAACTCTGAGTGCTTTGCTCACTGAAATTCTTTTTAGGAATCTCTAAAAGATTGTACTGATGGAGAGAGGTCAGTTTCAAAATGAAGGTTAGATTATCTTTTTTTTAAAGTCTTCTCATTCTCATATGCATTAGAATAACTAGATTCTAGTACTCATATTATTGTAACTCTGCAAGCAGAGAAACTTAGTTTAAATTGCTTGTAAAAAAATATAGATTTTTTTACTTGTATAAGTCTATGTATTTTCCCTCCTTTCAAGCATGTTCTCTAGCTAATGAAGTTCTTACTTTAATAGGAGATATGGCTGTTCAACCAGATGAGGATGAAGAATCATTTAATACCATTTCAAATCAGTATCCAGAGATTTATTTTCAGCCCTTGATCCTTACAGGTATGAGAATAATTTCTGTTGTAGGAAATAGAGAATGAGGTTCATTTGATATAAACTTAAAGCATTATTTAGCTGATTTGCAAAAAACGAATTTGAGTAGGCTGTACAAATCTTTTTTAGAACCTCCACCAGAGGATCACTTGCTGCAGAATACCTTATGGCCTGAAATTCAGAAATTGTAAGTTTTATTTTTCCTTTTTTATTTGTTACAAAATTTCCAGAAAGCTGTTGCAACATGTTAACCTGTTTTGTAACTCTTCTTATTTTACTATATCATTTGACTTAGTGTGCGCTGTATTACTCTTGAAATAAATGAATTATATATATATATAAAAATATAAAAATTAGGAAACAGTGAAGAAAACAGCAGTTAGATCAAATGTGTCGTAGTTTTATTTTACTTGGTTGTTTCTCCTTAAAACCTTGTCTATATTGAAGATTACTCTGTGTAAGGAGTTTTCTGCCACTTTTCACTTCGTGGCACAGGCTTGCAGATGTGGTGTGGAAGTAGAGGCTGAGGTATCAGAGGAGGAGCTCACCCCTAACACCTGTCAGAATTGTAAGGTGCAATAGATGGAGGAAGCAGCCAAACTAGGATGTGTGTCTAGTGGTAGAGCAGAGTGATAAATGTTGAGTAAGATGGTTACAAACCCAGTTTGGATATTGAATGCTGACAGAGTGGTTGTCAGTTGCAAGGATAATGGAGCTACATAGTCACGATAATTGCTTTGAGGTTGCAGGGTTTTAGAATCGTTAAGCTATGTTTTCTTCCTTTTCTGAAATTCATAACAATTTTCATATGAATGTTGTCACCTGATTTGTTCCCTAGGGATCCCAGTCACATGAAGCTATACTTTGACAGTCTTCAAAGTTTTAGTATCAAAGTATAGCACAAAGAAATTGAATAATCTCAATCCCTTGTGGCTTTATTTATCTGAATCTTCTGAAAGAGGCCTCAGACTGAAACAAGAAGAAAGTTGAGCCTTTGCTGATGGTTACAGTCATCTCTATACATTACGAATTCTGTGAGGGAGGAAATAAAAAGCTTTGGGAAAACACTGTGCAGCTTGCTTTCATTTGACCAAGGGGGAAGTTCTGTGGGAGCTCATCTTTGCCTTTAATTGGGCAATAAATCTGCATTGAATGCTTTTAAACTGTTACTGTGTTTGTACTCAAAAATGATTTTAAGAGGAAAGCCAGTGGATGTTAGATCATACCTGCACATTTTGTAGTTTCTAACTGTTAATTTAACTGTTTCTTCTGTGCATTCTATGGCTCCTAGTGCACTCACATAAGTAGATTGATAAGGGATGTTTAAGTAGTGAAAAGGAGCCAAGGCCAAAATTCATCTTCATTTGCCTTTGACATTTCACAAAGTCTAGTGGGACATTAATATTTTATACTCAGCTATGGAAGTACTGCCTCTCTGCCTTTATATCCTGCATTCATTAAAATAGCTCTGTTTTATGACAGTCTTCAGATGACTTTTATCTGAGCAATTTTTTCTCTTTTTAGAGACACAGCTAATGATATAGATTATTTTATGCAAGAGCAACAAGATGTAAAGCATTCATAGACTTTCAGATTTTTTGCTCAGAGTAATCTTGAAAGAAGTAACATGAAATCGCATAATGTAGATTTCAAGTTGCCATAGCAGCAGCAGAACAGTGTGAGGCACTGACTTGCTAAAAATAGCTTGTTTGTCATTGACATTTGTGTATTCCTAGCTCTAACTTGACACCAAATTTTGAAGGATTAGTGTTGGGTTTTGCAAAGTGTTTGCTTAAAGAGGTTTTAGTATGAAGAACTTGCTGATTTTTTTACATAATATAATAACTTTAAAATATGGTAAATCTTATGAGAATATGCTAATCGTTATCCCCTTGGAAAATTATCATAGTTCATATGCAGCATGCTGAGATTAAAACTTGAGTGTTGACATAAATATATATGTTTATATATATATACATTTCATGTAATACACTTGGAAATTGGAAGAGATCCTTTTTGACACTAGAAAATTACGGTATTCATTTGTCTGGACACTTGAAAGTCCAGTCAGTCCACCTGTGCATTAAAACAATGCTATGAATTGTATAACACTGAGACAAAATTGCCTGTGGTTGAAAATATAATTTCATTACTCATTCATGCTGTTACTTCTCTCCATTGTGAACCTTTATTTGGTTGTGTACTACGTAGTGAAGAAATCAGATTTCATGGGATGAAATCTGGGATTTAGATTTATGGGATCAGAGGATGGGACTGTAGTTCCTATGCTGTCAAGGCTCATCTGCACTCTTTTTAAACAGCATCTCCTGTTGCCAATAGCTTAATTCTCTTTACGGGAAACAGCAACGGGCTGTAGAGCTGCTGGTCTGACTTAGGATAATCCTCCTCAAGTAACTTTGCAAGATACAATATTTTATGTTTTCTGTTAATTTAATAAGAATGGTTACATTTTGGTACTTCCATTATCAAAAGAAGCATTGCATGCAGAAGCTTGAAATGTTTTCATCAACTGCTCTTCAATACTACTTTTAGGAGATTAAAACCAGAGCAATTGCGGATTTGTTTCACAGGTTATTCTCCTGTCATTGAATTTCAGGAAATTTATACTTTTGATGTAATAAATGCTTTTTAGTTTTAGAAAATTGACTTGACGTGGTTTTTACTACAAAACTGTCTCCAGAAATGTGCTTTAAAGTAAGCTTTATGATAAAACTGCTGGTGGCGAATTAAGAGTAAGACATGTAGTAGTACCTTCCTCGTTATAAGATACACACAAATTGGCAACTTAACATTTCAATTGGGGGTACACACCAGTCCCTCTCCCTGTTAAATGGTCCAGGCACAGTTACATTTCATAAAAGCCAGTGCATTCCCAGTTTTCAGACATGACTTTGGCAGTCTGTTGATAGGATATGTCTAGCAATGATGCTTCAAGCTCAGTTCAACAGATCCAGACAGTAATCTGTCATTTAAGTAGGTGGCTGATCTGGCTGCAAGTGAAATCCCATGAACATCAGTCCCATGTAAGAAGCTAACACTGCTGACCAAAGGAGTTTATAAAGAGAACTGTCCATCTCTTCAGAACTGGGAGAATCATAGGAAACAACCCCACCCAGATGGTATTGAGCTGGTACTTGTCTACTGTTTATAGGTTGCATCTCTAATTTTGCTTTACTTCCAATTTTTTTGTGACTGATTTTAATTTGTGTTAGTCTGTATGGAATTTCTACTTATTAGTTAAATACCAGTCTGGATATGCGAGCTTGGATTTCATCAGAACTCATGCAAAGGTTGATTAAAAAAAATGTATTTCTGGAGAAGGCTAGAAAGGCTAGAAGAATTTGTGCAGATGTTTAAAATGAAAGCTGAACAAATTATTTGGGATGTAATACCGAAACAGTGGTGAGAAGTTCCTGGCAGGTGCCTTTCATTTTTGAAAAGGGATTTAAATTAATATAACAACTTTAATACATACTGCAAAAATTACTGTGATGTGTTAAATTTATTTTCACGTGTATTTCAGATATGGACATGGATATGAAATTTTTTGTGTTGCTTGCAATAATTCAAACACTGTAATTGCCTCAGCATGTAAGGTAAGAAAAGATTCTAGCACCACCTAGTGAAAAGTGCTATCTGATTTCTAGGGCTGAATTCTCTTTCCAAAACGTGAGGGATTTTGTGTAAGTGACAGTTGCCTTCCAAAGATGACGGTGGATTGCCAATAAGTTATTATTCTTAAATTGTGTATGATTCATTTGAAGATATTAGTAAGACAAAATCTAAAAAATACAGATCTGAAATGTTTTCTTATAGATATATTGTCAGTATTAGAAGAGAGTAAGGAAAGAATGATGAAACTTCCTAGAAGAAAGCTGTGTCTTACTTGATTGCATGCCTTAAAACAAGCTGTCTAGTATCTTAGTTCTTTGAAAGGTGTGACTTTTATACTTGCTCTCATTAATTCGCACTGATATTTTTTTCCATCCATATAGGCTTCCAAAAAAGAACATGCAGCAGTTATTTTGTGGAGCACTACTTCTTGGAAGAAACTGCAGAGTTTGTCTTTTCACAATCTGACTGTTACTCAGCTGGCATTTTCTCCTGATGACAGTTTTTTGCTAGCTGTTTCTAGAGACAGGAATTGGTCACTGTGGAGGAAACAGGGTTCTTCAGAGTCAGGTAAGATACGTGAAGTGGATATACACATTTGTAGACTGGGTAGTTTGTTCAGTATTTTTGGCTGCAAAATATCTGAAAGGGAATGGATAAAATATTTTAATGGACATTTTGCTTACAACTCTGAAGAATTATTAGTGTTGTAGGCTCTTGTGGATTTAAGAAATGCAATTAATGTGTGAAAAGATAGAAAGAAAGGAAATTAAAATACAGAGAAGAGTATAATCAGGCTTTAGATGGTGTTTAATTGATGGATGTAATGAAGTCTGCTAGTCCTCGTGCCTTCTGCATGTGATTGTACGTTTGACTTACTGAAATCAAGTATACAAGCTGAACTTCAGATTGGCATTCTGTCAAGGAGAGCCTTCATCACAGAGTTAGTTCTGTGCAGGCATAGCTGGAAGGTTCAGTGCTGTACCCATATCCTGCATAGGCTGCCATGTCCCTGCTTGCATGGCATGACACTTTGAGACTCTTGACAGGGTTAATATCTGTCTTTGGTGTGGCTTTCTGATAATCCTACACAATTGATTAATTTGACTAGGGCTGGCTATGTCTGGAAAAAGAGCTGATAGTAAGGATTCCGTTTGACTTTCTCATTAAGACTTTGAGCCTTGCAAAATCATGAGGAGATTGCTATTGAGCACTTTAATAGAATCCTAGAACAGATGCCTGTGCTGAAAGCGATTATCATTGCGCTCTTGGCTTAATAGCATATAAACACTGCTGGGCTCTATAGAATGTTCCTGGAGACTTGGCAGTGAGTTTTGGCCCCTTCAGACAGTGTCCAGTTGTATCCTGGCTTGAATTTCTGTTCTATTCAGACTTCTATTCTAAAGCCTGGCATATTGTCCACAGTAGTTACACAATGGTTCAGGATAAGAATCATGAATACTCATAGCAAGTAGAGGAAATCCTCTTTTTATCTGTTCATCAATAACCCTTCTGTCTACAAATAACATCATTATCAGTGTAAAGCAAAACTGCTGCTATTGGCATCCCAAGAAGTGGTTATTCAAAGTCTATGCTCCAAAATGACAACCTTTTCTACTTAGGAAAAGCATTCCCATTTACTGATCTGCTGATCAGATGTAGTGCCTGATTGTATACATGCTGAATACAAGCTTGTCTCTTTGGGAACACATTAATCTTTATAATTGGACCATTATGATTGGAGCAGTTGGGGCTTTACTGGTAAATAGGAGCTTTAGTGAAATTACTGGGGAAACGTGAGCACATGGTAAATGTTGCGTTATTCAAAAACATCTGAAGTCAGTGTTCTTAAGAGAACTTCATAGAAATAACCTGAAGATGTTACACTTGGACTTATATTCTTCTGAAAAAGAAATGCATTTAAAAGATTGAACTGTTCCTACTATTTTAGGGCTATAAGGGCTTACTGATATGGTCTTGAAGAGGTGCTAGTTATCACTGTGGTAAATGCTGGAAAAAAATATTCATGTAGTACTAAGTATTCCCAGTTGTTTTAAAGATGCGTGGAATAATGTCCAAGTATTCTTGGAGTTCTGACATAGAGTTAAGTAACAGTAACAATCACTTTTAATGTGTAAAGTAGTTGAACAAGGCTTTTCCTCTACATGTTTTATTCCAGGACCAGTCTTCACTTGCTGTGCATACACAGATAAAAATACAGCTGTTCACAGTCGAATCATTTGGTCCTGTGATTGGACACCAGATAGCAAGTATTTTATTACTGGTAGTCGGGACAAAAAGGTAATTAATGTTAAAGGAATGTAGAAAGTCCAGAGTTATTTTAAACATCTTTTAGAATAACAAACATGGTGTTCTAATGAGCCCCTATTTTATAAATACACAAAAATCTCTTTGCATGTATTAGCACAGAAATCGGTGATACTTTCATAAGCTAAATAAAGTGCTTGAATATGTATATACAAGACTGTGGGCTGCCAGTTGGACATTCTCCCTTCTTTTTTCATGCAGCAAGACAAGCATATGTCACATAATTCTATGGGTCTCAAGTTTTTCTTTAACTTTCATAACAGAATCTGGTTTTGTTGTCAGTAACTTTAATGAAATCTGACAGATTGCCTACAAAGTTGAATCTTTGTAGGTAGAGATTTTTTTTTACCATTTTTAGGGTCATCCACTGTGGCCTGGAATTATTTTAATTAAGTTATTTCTTATGTTTTGGTACGTGCATTTGCAAGAAGATGAAAGTGGAAGTTCATAGCTGACTCTTTTTCTTACAGGTCATTATCTGGGGCCAGTGTGATTTGTCAGTGATTACTGAAGGGAATGAGCTGGATTCAATCAAGCCTTGTTCAACAGTGCTGGATGCTGGAGATTCTGTGACTGCTGTTGGTATCAGCCGTGTGCTTACTCCTGATGGAAGGTATTGCTGGTTTTCTGTAATGTCTTTTTGTGTTTAATATGCAATTAGTATTTATCCCTTTAGTCAACTAGTTTCCTGTGGCTAAACAGCTCCCAAAATCTACCTGTCAATTATTTTGACCAGTCTTTAACAGAATGACCTCTTCTTTTTTTTCTTTCTTAGCCCCCTTTTCAGGTATATGGTGACTTCTCCAAGCACTGTAGAGAAAAATGAAAGTGGGAGAGGGGAGGGAAAGATGCATGAACACACTTGAAACACATTAATTCTTCCAACAATATTGCCTGATCTGATGTTGTATGATAACCTCCTTTTTTTTTTTCATAACCAAATGTATGTAGATTTGCTTATTTTTTTTGTGAAGCAGCTTTGATGTGTTAATTGTTTTCATGGAAAAGTAAATACTGATTTGAAGGGCAAGGTGCAACAACAGTGCTTAAGTGCTAGTTCTTTCTATCCTACATTAGAACTGACCTCACTGAGCTGTCTACTGTAATTTCTAATGAAATGAATGTAATTATTCTCTTGATAGATACATCATTGCAGTAGGCTTAGAAAATGGGAAGATTAGCTTGTACACATGGAAGCAAAGTGGGAAAGAACCAGCACTGGCTGACTGGACCACAAGTGTTGAGATAGCTAACAGGTATGTCTTTTGAAGTCATTTAGGAGCAATGGAATATTATTTTTCAGATTAAAAGTGCTGGAGTTCTGTTCTTATAGTATAAAATATATGAATCTAGGTTACTTCTATGCCAAAAGTTGTTATTCTTTTAGGAAAAATTTGATCCTTGAAAGTCTAAAGATGTCTTGAAGCAAAACCCAGAAATAACAATATTGGTTATTTAGATGTATTAAAAAAACCTCCCAACAAATGCAAACAAAAACCAAAAGCTATGCAAATGGTTTGAGAAGTATTACCCTTTGTTGGCCCTACTTAAAAAAAAGCTTTACCTTTAGTCATAAATATGATGATAGAAAACACTGAAGAGAGACTGGAAAGGATCACTGTGTACATCAGCAAAACATTTTGGAATGGATGACAGCAAGCTTTCAAGAGCAGCTTCCAGCAGAAACCAAAGGAATGACAGGCTATATGTGGGGCTGCTGCAGTGACAGCTAGAGAGACTCTGTGGAGAGACTTGGAATGTTTCACTTCAAGGGCTCCCCTGGGTTCTTCTATCACACACTGCCATTGATAGTAACAGGAATGGAAGTTGATGGTGACTTTGGCCTGTGTGTGCTTGCAGTGAATGGGAAAGAGACACTAGATAACAGGAAATAGCAGGCTAAAAGCCAGAAATCTGTCATATCTAAGTAACTGAGATACTTGACCTCCAGCTTAATGTGATAAAACTGAAAATCAATAGCTGTTTGAATTATTGATGAGTGAGAGGATAAAATGTCATTAGTGTTAATGACCCTACTTAATAAGAACTTAATGCCTGCTGGTTGTCACAAGTCAGTTTTTCCTCAGTTGGTAGTGTTAACTGAAGAGTCCTAATTACATGAATGTTGACGTTTACACTCACATGCCCAACTGTGTTTAACATTTTGCAGTTACATATGGATTTCTTTTTGTTGCAGCCAAAGTCATGCTCTTGCTGTGAAACGCTTATGTTGGAGACATCATGCAGGGAGAGCTGGACATAACGATGAGAACAGCAGCAAGTGGTTGCAGCTTGCAAGTTGTGGAGCCGATCACAGTGTTAAAATATTCAACGTCAACAGATTTGCTCTTTAGCAAAGACAGCAGGCCTGTTTGTGCCAAACAGATTCACAGCATTTTATTTCAACTTCTAGCCACTTTGATTATTGAATTTTCTGTTTTCTGCTGTGGAAAGTAAAATATCTGACATGTAATTTATTAAAGCAACTCTGGTGGAAGTTTGAAATGTCAAATATTTTTCTAATCCTGCAGTTCTGGGAATAGAAAGTATATGCATTGTTTGGTGAATATACTGGAACTGAGGGATGGGAGTTGGGGTAGGGCATGGGAGGATAATGAGAGAGCTTTATTTACTGTGACTCGGAGGGTAGATGGGAAGCTGGTTATACTTGGGTTCTTCTGTGCTTGAGATAACACGTGGAGTACTGAATTTTTTTAAACTCCTCTTGCTATTAAACTTAACTGTTGGTGGGCCTGCCAGTGCTGCCAGTGTGTGTTCAGGGCATGTGCAGCCAGATATCAGGGTTAAACATGAAGCTTTCTCTGATTGCCTTTGAATGTGTATTACACATTCAGGGCTGTGCAGGGCTGAACTTGTGCTTCTTGGTCAAGTGGGGCTTAAAGCTGAACTCAGAAACCACTTAAATCTTCTAATGTCTCCCCTGTGAGCCCTCTCTGAGCATAGTGTGATAGAAGAGCCACCTCTGAGACTGTTGGAGGACTGTCCTCTACAATTTGGACTGGAAAAGCTTATGGATATCACTAGGGAGATGCTAAAAGGAGGCAGCCATTCCTTACAATGCCTTTGGGCATTGTATGTCAGCAGGTCTGTATCTGGTTCCAAAGTCTAATTTAGAAATTGGTTAAATTTTGAGAATGAAATTGTTATTCCAGAACTGCTTGCTACCTGTATCTGGCAGTGCAGAGATAACTGGAATTGTGTTTAACTTTTTACTGTGTTGGATAGTTAGATTGAGTGTAGCTCTTTCAGAGTGGGCTGTACTGTTTTCAGAGTAATTATGGTTTATGCCTTGAAAAGTTTTTATATTTATGCCTTGAAAGATTTTGTATTTTAGCTCTTTATTTTCAGTTCTGTTTTTCAGCCATTAAAAAAAAAAACCTTTAAAATGAGGACAGGGGAATAAAAAAAAGACTTATTAATAAAGATGATTTGCTACATTTTACTTGTGGTATCCAGTGCTTTCCTTACACGAGTGCTTTAGCATTCAAGCATTTGAATATTGTATTTTACCTGTCTGGGAATTTTTAAGCAACTATATCCTGGCAAGAGAAAGATATAACTTATCACTCATGAGGTTTCAAAAAGCTGCCAAAAGTGAGACTTTATCCTGTGTAACAATTGTAATCTTGTATCTTACAATTTGATGATAATACTGTACAATTCTTTCCAATAGTAGCACATATTGTTATGTGGCCACTTCTGGGTATAGGTGACAATGAAACATCGTATTAGTTGTCCCTCTTTTATTTCGTGAAATGCTGCCATTAAACAAGCATCAGCTACTAGAGGATTTAGTAATCCACTACATTACCCGTGGGACTTGGTGACTCAATCACATTCATTGTTCCAGCTTTAAATGCACCAGATTAGTCTGTTGGTCTCCTAAGTCTAAATGTTTATAATAGACACTTTTAATTTTCAATTAAGTTAGAGGTTAGACACCTCAACACATGATTAATATTTTATGTATGATACTATCTTTGCTCACGCATCACTTTGCTATGCATTTAGTAGGTGTTACTTTTATATACACCTTTATCTTCTCATAAATCCACTCATGTCTTTTTAAAATGTAAATCAGCATGTAAAAAATACTAAGAAATGAGCTGCTATCAATGTACCTGGCACTCTGAAATTCTCTGCTTATTTTACAGTGCCACTGAAAATGGAGTTGAGGAAATTGATGGGATAAACTGAAGTTTTGTAAAGAACATTCTAATACCTTTTGAGGTAAAGCCACCCCATGAAGATTTTGCATGCATATTATCAGTATTTACTGGCTTCATGCTAATTTTGAAGAGACTTTGGTCAAAGATGTGAACAAACTGTTTTATGTAATCAGGCCTAAAGGAGGAAGATTGTTTTGTCTTGCATCTAGTAGAGGTGTGTGTGACAAAGCAAGCAAGAAATGGCAAGGGTTTTGCTGTTTATGACCAAAACCAAGTTGTTATTGATATTGTCCAAAGCAATCTTAAATCTTTCAGTGCAGGATGTAGGTGTAGGCATCCTCAAGTCTGTGTTGGACCAACAAGCACTGACATTAGAGGTGAGCATGCTGTGGTGTCCGATGGATCAGGAGGACAAAATGAGCTGTTTGTGTAAACTGGGAGGGTGTGGGATGCTGACATTCAGCCTGAGGAACTCCTGCCTGGGCTCCATGTGGCAAGCTCCCTAAACACTGCTGCCAAGCTATCGATTGTGTTAATTCCTTCAGTTATGAAATGGCAAAGAAGGAGCAGGTTATGCATCATGCTAAGCCTTATAAAAAGTGTTACCCTGCTGTTCTCTCTTTTGTCGGCTGAGACTTCAGAAGTAACTAGAAGCGGTTGAAAATTTCAAGCAAGTCAATTACTGAACTCTGAGCTATTGAAAGCATCGCTTTGGTAACTCTGACTAATCTCTGTTTTCCAAAATATTTAACGTGAAGAATTGAGAATGCTCCAAGGCTCACTGCCAACTGCAGCTAATGCAGAGATGAGGGAAGAGGAGGAAGCAGCTGTGTCCTCATTTAGACTCAAATCTACTTTAAAGAAGTGGCTGTTACAAATAAGGAAATTTTAAAATAACTGAAATGAGAAGCAAAAATATTACTTGCTCTGTTTTAAGGAGCATCTGGAGCTGTATTATAGAGGCAAAATCACTGACAGGACAAAAATCAGAATTTGCCTTTTGTTTGCTGGAAGCTGGTGGAGGTAGGAGTTGTTGAGTATAGTTGAGCAATGTCCCACTACTGCTCTTTTATCAGCAGTTGTTTTCAGGCTCTGCAGTGGTAGTTTTGAGGCAGCAGGGCACCACGTTTACCCCATGACTTGCCCAGCCCTTGACCCTCCAAACATTCCCATTTTTGCCCTGTGTAGTGGCACACCCTCAAAGAGTTGTGTGATATCCCTTCAGACATTTTTCTCCCCCAGCCAGGAGCTGCCTTTTATTTTCTATGCCAACCACCAGATTCCTCTTATCCTGCTTCTGTGTTTATATCCAGCTCTGTAGGGAGCCGGGGGGCTGTGGGCTCCCTCTGCCAGCCCCTGGTACTCTTTCTTGATCAAACACAGCTCTTGCTGTCACCTTGTGTGACCAGCTCTAGTGACTGTATTTGAGCAATTTCTGTTCCATGCATATCCAAACATGTCATTTTATTTTCTGCAGCAGCACATCCTATGCTGTAATGCAATAATAAAACTCGAAATTGCCTGTTTTTCTGAAGGGAATTTAGGGTAGACCATGTGACAAATCCCAATGCTGTACCATAATCATGGGACTATCTCCAGTGTCCTGGGGTAGCTCTACCAACCAGATGTGCCCTGGACTTGGAAGTCCTCGAGGAGAGCTGCTCCCTGTAATTGGTGTTTGCAGGACTCAGCCAACATTACAGCTGCACAGATGAGGGGAGGTGCTGTGCCCGAGGTAATCACTGTGTTACAGTGGTGTCATCCTTATATAGACTCCAGCAGATCCCAGCTGAAACAACAAGGGATGCAGCAAGCAGGTTTTTACTGCAGAGGAGCTGTTTCCTTTGCCTGAAAAGCTTATGCTAACACTGATCTTGTCCTGCCTCATTTTTCTTTTTCTAAATGCTTTTCTCTCCTTCTAAGAAGATGTTTTGCCTTCTTAGTCCCTTCTTCATTGCTGCAGGCCCCTAAATATTCCTGTAGCCAATCCTTATTTTCTCAACAGCCTTCTCTCTTTCCTATTGTTCTTGTAAAATAATCCAATGCTTTCTAACACATGATCCTGGGAGAATTCATATGTATCAAGTATAACATCCTCTTGGTATTTTCTGTTCTGCCTTCTTTGTCTCTGATTCTTCCTTTGCTGGGTTTTGGGCTTTTGGTATTTACACAGCCTGTCCAACATAATTACCTCCTTTCTCCCTGACAACAAATTACTGGCATACGTGTGAGCAGCATGCCCTCTTCCCTTGCTAAAGCATAAGCTGCCTACCTGCCAGTGGGGGTAACTTTTCTCCTCTACAAAAATGAATTGACTGCAGTCTCCCCAAGGGAAGCTTTCCAAATGCTTTTCAAGATAAAGCAATTGTTATGTTTGTCTCTCTGTTTCATAATCTTGGAGAGTCTCCTTCCTGTGAGTTATCATATAAAGATGTGCCTCTCTGAGAGAATATCTGCACTTCACAGACACACTTTTAGGGTGTAGGAGCTTTCTGCTTTTTAAATTCTTTTCCTTTGACATGGCAGGCAGTCCTATATTCAGTTCTCTGGATGCTAAAAGTTTTCACCACTGTCCACAGAGAGCACGGAGCTGCAGCACATGATTCTCTCTCTGCAGAAGAAGTTCAGCCAGGAAGGTTGAAACAGCTGCAGTGCAGGGAAGCTCCTGAAATGCCTGTAGGTTGCTCTGTGTAGGTCTTCAGGGTGGGTCTCTCTGACCTCCACAGGTGATAAAATTGTGATGAAGAAGCCTCCCGTGGGTGTTCTGGTCAAACTTCTGCTTCTTTGGTGTGTGCACAATCTCTTTATCTCACAGACAGTGCTGTGCCTTCAGTAACAGCTCCAGGTCACTAAGTCCATTTGGACTAGTTGAAGTGGGAGCCCCTTTACAGCTGGTGAGCATTGATTCAGGATGGCAGACCACCCCTATAGTTACAGGTGCACGGAATATAGGCTGTTAAAGGTGATAAAAAGGTATAAATGTTGGTTTTTCTTAGCTACTACTAGACAAATGTCAGCTTCAACGTTTTCTACCCATCAAAAAGAAAATTGGTATGTTTTATCATGTAGAAGATATTGTCACAGCTCAAAACAGGAGTTATGTCTGTGATGTGAAATTCTGCAATTCCTATGAATTGCTCAAAAGTGCATTTCCATAGATTAGTAGTACTGAAAATTGCTAGCTCAAGGCTGAAATAAAGAAGATTATGTTTCACAGAGCAATAGGATCATGTGATTATTAAAACTGGAAGGGAGCTCAGGAAGTCTTTTTTTCAAACTGCTCCAGGCAGGGTCAGCTGTGAAATCACACCAGGCTGCTCAG